ATCATGCGAATTGCTGACACTGCACTTGCTTGCAGGGCTGCGGAGTAGATTGATTTTGGTAGCTCTGACTCCGGCTTTTAAAAAATCGCTCGGAGTCCCCACCCCATCTCCGATCACGGCATCCCTCGGCCCGCATCGGAGTGAAAAACATGTGATGTGATGCTTTTGTCTCTTTGAACATTTCTTGGCACGTTAAAAGATAACATTACCTACGAGGTGCAGCTCTGGACTGTCCGTCCCAGGTCCTCGATAGGGAGCCAAAGCTCCAGTTGTAGAGGCGACCATATTCAACAAGGGCTGAAGATCTGTCCCAAAGTCTCAAGCTTGCAAAGACCACACATTTTATGTAGGATATTCGTAATAGTCAAGACCTTCAGCTCACTCTCAAACGGCCCTCTTCCCGTTCAAGGCCATCCGACAGCAGAAGGTCTCACCATGTCCTTTGAACGCTTGATGCTTGAGGGTGAGAGGACCTCGTCCTGGTCTGAGAGAGCCCAGGAGGATGTAATACTCAGTATGGTCCTACATTGGTCTTACCATGACCCGGCCTTCAATCACCACAGCCAACAGAATCTCCAGCTTTTATCCGACCCATCCTCGGGGATGACGTTGACTCTGACTTCAGAGTTGAAGTCTGGTACGACTTTGGTGACTCCAACTCCGTATCCGACCAAAACCGTCGACTACGACCGAAGTCGACTCCGACCCCGCGGTCCTGCAGCTACACTGCACAGAGTTTCAAACTTCTTGGAAATAAGCTGTACCTATGGTTGACAGAGGACCACACGATTTTTTAGAGGCAGGGCTGCTGGACTTGGTGACCAGATCCTAACTGTCCTGGTATCAAAGTTATTACTCGGGATGCAAAATTTATGCGTTTTGGGACTGTTTTGCCAAGAGTTTTTGCCAATTTTCGCGGCGCTTCGCGCCGCCAATTCATGCACAGATAGAAAAGAGTGTGACTAATAACGCCTCCACGCGAGAACATGAGAACATGTGTATTGTGTATGCGTTATAAGTAGTGCATAGGCCTGAAATTGTACGGTAACTAGCTTTTGGGTTTTTAGTCAGCCAATCCGTCCCCCCCAGTCAAAAATCCGTGGCGACGCCCCTGCCCTACCCCCACGCCTGCTGGACGCTCCGCACACACCGCACGCAGCAGTGTGCGGTGCCCGTGAACACCCCTCAGAGAATTCGCCGGCAGCCTAACGTAAACAAACGTCACGCGTTTTCTAGCACATGTTCGACGTCGATTACCCTCAAGCACACTACCCGAAGTCTGATTGGCTGTGAGCTATGACGTCAGGACACTTCTGATACTCTCATTGGCTGAACAATGCTTCACCTGACGACGCCGTCTGTGATTGGTGGCGAGACAAGACATCAAAACGAGGCTGATGCAATGGCAGTTGGTCTTGAACGCTTTCGAACACACGGGAAACCTCGAGAAAGTAGGAGTTAGAGCAGCCACTTACTCACAGAAATCAGACCGCATGCCCGACGTTCGTTTTCCATCGCGGCTGATGTTTCCGCAGCCCCTCTTGTTTCATTTTTGTTTTAACTGTTTTTAAAGGCTTAACGCCATCTCCCCCCCCCCCCAAAATCTCATTAGTTCAAAACTCCTCTGGATAATCATTAATCCGTATAATTTTCGACATGGAGAAAAGGGGGGAGGACTACATGCTCCTTATTCCGAAGTGATAGAGCAACAATACTCTGACAAATTATACACCGGCTATATAGTATAATTTATTTTTGCAGTTGTTCTTGCAACTCGAGAGCAAATTTTCCAACATTCATTCAGTACAGGTCGTCTTCGGGAGGATATGACAACCTGAACCATTAGCCAATAATATCGCAAAACGCCCGTCAGGCTCCAGAAACACTTTGTATTTGTACATTGTTTGTGCGTCACACCCTTCACACTCTCACACGTGTAAAAACGTAGCTCACAGATGAGTGTCATTGAACTAGCTCCCCTCCCCACAAACGCAATCCCTGAGAAGTGACAGGCAGCCCGGACACAGCGCAAAGCCGATGGCGTTAATTCCCGCCCGTAGTTACGCAGCTGGGCTGATGTAACAACACGACAGCCCGGGCCGAACACGTGGTATAGGACATCGACGGCTGCGGGTGATCACGTGATACGAAACGCCAGTGGCCTACGCACAGCCGCCAGCTGTGCTGACGTACATCACACAGACATACACGAACACGTAGGTAACGCCAACCCTAGCCGCAGCTTGGCCGCAGCGCAGGAGGGTCCACAAAAGGGCCATCAGATTTCAATATAACATACATGTTACATAAAACCGAGATGATATAAATCCATCCGGGTCAAAAATGTGATTCCATAAACAAAGACAGCATAATTAAAACAAAGTACAAACGTTCAAAATAATGGTCGCAACAAAAAGTCCATGTCAATATTGGAAATGGGGTGATTCCATGACAGATCACCTAGGCATGTTCACCATGACCTCTCCGATTTTGCTCAAATTTGGCATGCAAGTTGACCTATGGGCACTACTACGTCCCAGTGAATTTTTAGTCTCTAGGTCACAGGGGTCATGAGATATGGGTCATACAAATTTTAAGGTTTCCCGGAATATTGAAATATAAAGTATTTTTTATCTCTGCAACGGTTCACCGTATCAAAAAAAGTTATATATGAAATAATAAGCGCACAGGCTGGTGCATCTAGCAAAAATGTGAACGAAACCTCAGGGTCATTTTTTTTACCTTATGACCTTGTGACCTTTTCTTGACCCCGTGACCTTTCAAATTTGTCCTATTTTAAAAATTCTGATTTTTTCTATCAGAGATGTCTTATCCATGCTCTTAATAGTGGTATGTGATTTGGTTGGTATATCGGACCTGTTGACCTCAAACTGAGGTCAACAATGTGGCCATGACCTGACATGAAAATGACATCTGCCGAGAACATCATGAATCATAGGCAATATGGGTGTCATATGAAAGCTAACTTCACGGAGAATACATTGGTGGTGTTTTTGAGTAGGTATGGGCCGGGTCAAGGTCACATTAGGTCAGTGACCTAACACAGCATTGTGTTCTTTGAAGGTGGCGTATTTTATTTGTTTGGTAAGTCCAGTGATCAGCATACAATAAAAAGGAAACAAAACGTCATAAAACGTCTTTTTTATTCAAAAAGCAGAAATAAAATGCACACATACCCATATAAACACACTCGCAAAAACACACACATTCATATACCTCATTCGAGGAAGTTCTTTCAAACAAACCCCAGTGACACACGCGCTGTGAAGAACGAGTCTCAGAAGACTCGGACAGCTTGAAGGCTGCTATGGTATTGGAGTCGAGCAGTACAAAGCGGTGAAACGTCCTGGTACCCTTCACCATGCGGGCACTTGTGAAGCGTTCTTTCATTTTTGTCTTCGTTTCTGCTATTTGCGTTGCGGGAGCTGACGCGGGAGCTGAAGCGGCATTTCAGGCAGTGGTTATTCCCCACATTTGAAATGAATGCCCAAGACTAAAAAATGCACTACTTCTCTGACGGAGCAGCGTCCCAGTACAAGAACAAATACAATTTTGCAAATATATGTCATCATGCCGAGGATTTCGGTGTACAATGTGAGTGGATGTTTTGCCACCTCGCATGGCAAAAGCGCATGCGATGGTATTGATAATACTGTGAGGACCACCTTACCGATAAAATGCATTTCTTCTTCGTTTCGGCAACGCAAATAGCAGGAACGAAGACGAAAATAAAGAGAACGGTTCACAAGTGCCCGCACGGTGAAGGGTAGGTAGTAGGTACCAGGACGTTTCACCGCTTTGTACCGCTCGACTCCCACACCATAGCAGCCTTCAAGCTCTCCTAGTCTTCTGAGACTCGTTCTTCACACCGCGTGTGTTACTGAGGTTTGTTTGAAAGATCTTCCTCGAATAAGGTGTATGTATGTGTGTGTGTGTTTGTGCAAGTGTGTGTATATGGGTGAATGCATTTTATCTGTGCTTTTCGAATAAAGACAGACGGTGTTTTATGACGTTTTGTTTCCTTTTTATTGTGTGCTGATCACTGGGCTTACCAAACAAATAAAATACGCCACCTTCAAAGAACACAATGCTGTGTTAGGTCACTGACCTAATGTGACCTTGACCCGGCCCATACCTACTCAAAAACACCACCAATGTATTCTCCGTGAAGTAAGCTTTCATATGACACCCATATTGCCTATAATTCTCGACGTTCTCGGCAGATGTCATTTTCATGTCAGGTCATGACCACATTGTTGGCCTCAGTTTGAGGTCAACGGGTCCGATATACCAACCAAATCACATACCACTATTAAGAGCATGGATAAGGCATCTCTGATAGAAAAAATCGGAATTTTTAAAATAGGACAAATTTGAAAGGTCACGGGGTCAAGAAAAGGTCACGAGGTCAAAGGGTCAAAAAATGGCCCTGGGGTTTCGTTCACATTTTTGCTAGACGCACCAGCCTTTGCGCTTCTTATTTCATATATAACTTTTTTTGATCCGGTGAACCGTTGTAGAGATAAAAAATACTTTATATTTCAATGTTCCGGAAAACCTAAAAATTTGCATGACCCATATCTCATGACCCCTGTGACCTAGAGACTAAAAATTCACTGGGACGAAGTAGTGCCCATAGGTCAACTTACATGCCAAATTTGAGCAAAATCGGAGAGGTCATGGTGAACAATTGGAAAAAAAATTAGGTGATTTGTCGTGGAATTGCCCAATGGTTTTCAGTTGCGGTGAAACAAAACTAGCAGCACCTAAAACAATCAACATCACCCGATTATAAAATCATCTTGCTATTGCATTTGCGCATTTAATTATGTGCATTGATGTAACATAAGCTCCTGTCACGGACCAAGTTAAAAAGGTAAAATACGCGATATCGTCCAGGTATCGCGATATCATTCGACAAAAACGAAATATACAACAAACACGAATGGCCACGAAACATGGACATTCAAAATAAAAGCGACATAAGCGCAAAATAACACATCAAAACTGTTCAAGCACGAATGCCCCGGCCGCTACAAGCAAAAATACCAACGGCTATGTGACAAATTTCAGGGCACGCAACAAGAGTCTCGCTCAAGCTGATGCAGAAGCATCAGTTGCGAATAGATACGACTCTGATTATCATGATAACCATATAAGCATTGCCAAAAAGCCGGTAATGCAAAATCTCGTAGATTGTTCATCAATAACTGAGCTGTTTACGGGAAATGGCGACCCTTTTAATAACGAACGTCGAACGACATATAGCAAAGTGAGCACTGGATGTAGGTGCTTCCTAAATCGTGTGTTGTAGAAATCTCCATCATCTTGCCCTTATTCCCCCTCCTTCCCCCCCACACAAACACATACACAAACACACAGCACTACTCCCACAAATATCACATCTAAGGCACTGCACACACCTCCCCAGTTTTGATAGTCGCCCACATTCTGCCCGTTGGCGCCGTCTGCCCGGGGTCCACCGTCGGTCGGCCGGCGCCGCCTCACAGCCAGGGCGGGCCGGCCACCAGACCGGGCGGGCCCCGGGCGGCACGTCACAGAGAGCTGCGCTGCTGCGCCCGCTGCAGCCAGCGCTCCAGTGCGAAGTGGGTGCCGAAGGTGATGCGCTCCGAGCGGAGCGCGATGTCGCGCGGCCGACAGGCGGTCGTGCGCTGGTACACGGAGGTAGAGTCGATCTGCACCACGGTCTGACCGGAGTCTACCGACGGGAAGAGGGGGGGGGAGGTCAGATGGGGTCACTCACGACTCACGCGCAGAGGTGCGGAAAGAACGGTAGAGCCATGTTATCAGCAATCATTGCTAAAGCGCCGTTGAACGAATAACCCGATATTTTGCCCTGCTCACCGAACAGCAGGAATATGAGCAACCATCGGCGCCCCTCTAGCACAGTCTGTGGCACGGTACACGCAACCAGGTAACCACCTAACTAGCCAATCGGAGCCAGCACTGACCTCTTTGTTCGTCGACGACCAGAACCTCGTAGGAGGAGGCCGGTCCCTGCTGCAGGGTGGCGCTGCTGGCCACGATGCTGGAGACCAGCTCGCTCGTCAGGAACATGGCCGCCTGCACCTCCTCGGGGTCCAGCTAATAGGACAACGGACGGGCACAGTCAGCTTTCATACATTCTGTCTAAAATATCCGGTTAGTGTCTACTCTGTCAGCATGTCGGTTTCCACATAACTGTCCGCATCGAACTCCACGCAGTTACCCACGGCAGTTAATACCCCCGGTTCTCACCTTCAGCCGCCGGAGGATCTGGTCGGCCGGCTGCGGCACCAGCACGTGCAGGTAGACGACCAGGTGGTGTCGGCGCGGGTCACCGGCACTCAGCAGGTGTGGGTATACCGACTCCCAGAGACCGAGTGTCTCCACCACCAGCCGGGAGTCGCGGAGGTCCAGACCCGTCTCCTCGAACAGCTCCCGCAGCCCCGCCTCGACAATTGTCTCACCCGCCTCTGCCGAGCCCAAGCGGATCGTCAGGACGAGTCAAAGTCGGGTCAGGTCAGGATCAGCCATCAAATCAAACACGGTGGCTGACTGGCTGATATAGTAAGCTGTCACCACCGTCAATCGTTTGTCAGGTGCATATACTACTGATCCGAGCTGTCTCCGTCCCGGCAAGCCCTGAGACACCTGTGTTAGTGTGCCGGCCCGCGCCCGCCGACACCCCACGGAGAGCGGCCTGGTCGGCCGGGGTGCCGGCACAGTGGGCGCAGGCCGGTGAGCCGCGCAGGCGACATATCGGCAAACACAGAGTAGATGCAAACGAAACCATCGCTGCAATGAGCAACAGACCCACTCTAAAGCAAACAAAAAGACCAGCAATGCTCCGCAAAGCGCACCCCAATGAAACGTTAAAAATGCTGTTTCCATTTCCCACACTGTCAGCCCGGAACATCTAATGCCCCACTGGCCACTATTACCGCCGGGTTCCGGACAAAAAGTCAAATGATAAAAGGTAAAAGGATGATAAGTCAACAGACATTACGTCAAAAGCAAGAAGTCAAAAATCTTAAAAGTCAACAGGTAAAAGGTCAACAAAGAGGAAAGTCAAAAGGCAAAAAGTCAAAAAGGATAAAACGTCAAAAGATAAAAAGTGAAATTGCGAAAAAGTCAGTGAACAAAAAGTCAACTAGCATAGAAGTCAAAAGACAAAAAGTCAAATGGACATAAGGTCAAAAGACAAAAAGTAAAAACGGCAAAAAGTCAAATTGCCAAAAAGTAAAAAGGACAAAAGTCGAAAGACAAAAGGTAAACAGGACATAAAGTCAAAATCCAAAAAACCAAAAGGACAAAAAGTCAAAAAACAACAAGTCAACCGGGCATGAAGTCAAAATAAAAAGTCAAAAGGTCAAAAAGTCAAAAAGACATATAGTCAAAGTCCAAAAAGTCAAAAGGACAAAAAATCAAAGGGACAAAAAGTCAAAAGGACAAAAAGTGAAGAGGACAAAAGGTCAAAAGACGAAAAGTCAACAGGACATAAAGTCAAATTACAAAAAATCCAAAGGAAAAAATCCAAAATCCAAAAACTCAAAAGGACAAGTCAAAGAGACAAAGTCAATGACCCCTGGATCATCAGTCATTACATACATGAGATAACATTTACAAACAGCTGTACACAATTAAGCAGGATGCTGCACAATATAACCTGCATCATTGGACATTGAAGCGAGACTGTCTCCATTGCGCGACTGATGGGGATTCCCATGGCCCGCAACCGCGACTCAGCTGGTCACACGGGCATGCTTGGCTGAAATCTGACACACAAACGTTGACACTTACGTGCTAGGTGGGAGCTCGCTCGCATGGTAAGGTTGTCATGAGGCGGCGTTACATGATCCTTCGAGACAACTGGCTGTCCCAGGCGCAGTTTACTGGAATTATTTCAACAAATATAGTAACCCGGAATGTAACCGATACGAAAAGTTCGCTTGTTCAAATTTCCTATATTGTGTAGGGAGACGTTTCTCATCAATTGATTCCGTCACGGGCTCTATAAGCGATTTCACACTTTTATTATAGTTCAAGCGTATTGTATGGTACAATTGGTACAATAGTAAAGCGCGTCGTTTCTTTAAGATAGGTGGAAGTTGGAACGAGAGGCAATTGTGTGATTGTCGGATTGTCCTGCCTTGAAAGGAACGCTCATATCAGCATCAACAGACAACAACCTGTTAATATTCACGGACTGCATACAATTAAGGTGACCAATTTTCATCGAAAGTTACTGACTTTCGAGGTGGGAGACCAATTTTCATCGAAAGATGCGATTGCTAAAAACACAATTTTTTAGGACCTCGGAGCTGTGACGTCCAAAGAGAGGTGACAAGTATAGCGCATTGTGGCCACCAGTTACTGTCCCTCTCCTTCATCTTCGCCTCCGCCCTACGTCTCCTTATCGGAACTGCCCCCCCCCCCCCCCCCGCCACCAGCAGGCACAGTACGCTAACTTTATATAGATAAGTTCACATTCCCAATATACTTTTTAAAGCAAAATAAAAATAGGTAGGAGCGTTCTTATCGGTAGTGTCGGGGCACGCACGGGGACGCGCCGAGACGCGCTATGCGGTGCAGCCGGCGCCCAGCGGGCGGCGGCCGGGGATCAGGTGGCCCGGCGCGGGTCAGTCGCCGACCGGAGACGCGGGCTGCGGCGTACTTGTACCGACTTAGTTAACGACTGCTGTTAAAGACTACTTTTTGCTGTTGACTACATTTTGTGCATCAACTTTTCGCCCACCTATGAACTATTTGCTTGAACTTGACTTTTTGTGTGTTAACTTTTAGCGTGTTGACTTTTAAGCATGTTGACTTTTAGCCTGTTGACTTTTAGCATGTTGACCTTTCGCGTGTTGACTTTTAGCGGGTTGACTTTTAGGCGTGTTGACTTTTAGCGTGTTGACTTTTTGCGTGTTGACTTTTTGCGCGTTGACATTTTGCGTGTTGACTTTATGCGTGTTGACTTTTAGCGTGTTGACTTTTAGCGCGTTGACTTTTTGACATGTCGGCTTTTTGTCTCTTCGACATTATGTCTTTTGACTTCTTGCGTGTTGACTTTTAGCTTGTTGACTTCTGGCGTGTTGACTTTTTGGCAGGTTGACTTTTTGTTCATTTGACATTTTGTCCTTTGACTTCTTGCGATGTTGACTTTCTGTCTGTTGACTTTATGTCCTTTGACTTTTTATCCGTTTACTTTTAACGTTTTGACTTTTCATCCGGGAATCATTATCGCCCCACTGACAAATGACCGGTCTTCCCTCCCACTATTTTCCCCACTGACCGTTACCCCCTATCTATCGACTTATGAGGCCGCCAGTCGGCACCCACCGACCTATGTGACCGTCGGGCGGCACCCACTGACCTATGTGACCGTCCGTCGGCACCCACTGATCTATGTGACCTCCGGGCCCGATTCACTGACCTGGCTATGTGACCTCCGGGCGGCACCCACTGACCTATGTGACCTCCGGGCGGCACCCACTGACCTATGTGACCGCCGGGCGGCACCCAGGCGCCGGCGAAGGTGCGCATGTGCGCCGACCGGCAGGTGAGCAGCACGGCCCGGTCGGCGCTCTCCACCATCACGCAGATGCCGACGTTGACGCCTCGGCCGGCGATCTCCGGCGGCAGGGAGTCGCGCACGCGCGGCGTCATGTACAGCACCGGACAGCAGGTGTTGTGCTGAGGAGCACGGCAGGCAGGTGAACGGTCCGCGCCGGAACTCCAACCCGGGCCCCGGAAAACGCCACCCGGTGACAGGTGATGCCTGGTATGCTGTCAGTTAGCGACCTGACCTAGGTCGGTCACATGACCGTTGTCCACAAATAGACGCGCTCTGCCGGTGATACTGACAGTGCGTTCAATTGTGTCCACCGACGATACGATACTGTGCAGCCGAATACCATGGGGCAATTTTGAAAATAAGGTCCTTTAACCTCGCCCGTATTGGTGTTTAAACAGCCACTAACGTAGGGTGCGGGCAGTGGCGCAGCCAGGGGGGGGTCAGAGGGTCAGCTGACCCCCCCCCGAAATTTTTGTCAGGGGCCCGCTCGAGAGAGAGAGAGAGAGAGAGAGAGAGAGAGAGAGAGAGAGAGAGAGAGAGAGAGAGGAGAGAGAGAGAGAGAGAGAGAGAGAGAGAGAGAGAGAGAGAGAGAGAGAGGGAGGAGAGAGGCCCTAATCTAATCGGACGAGCCCGCTTCGAGAAATGCCTACTGGGACACCACGGGTGAGGGGTCGGCCTGGGGCCCCAGGTGGACGGGGCCCGGGCCCCCGGGAGAACGGGCCCGGCCCCTGGGAGAACGGGCCCGGGCCTCCTGGGTGGATGGGGCCGGCCTAGGGCCCAGGTGGACGGGGCCCAGGCCCCCGGGAGAACGGGCCCGGGCCTCCTGGGTGGATGGGGCCGGCCCCCCCCCCCCCGTTGATGGGTCCGGACCCCCGGGAGAACGGGCCCCGGGCCCCGGGAGATTGGAGAACGGACCCGGGCCTCCCGGAGAACGGGCCCGGGCCCCCGGGAGAATTGACCCGGGCCCCTGGGAGAACGGGCCCGGGCCTCCTGGGTGGATGGGGCCCGACCCCCCCCCCCCCCCGTTGATGGGTCCGGGCCCCCGGGAGAACGGGCCCCGGGCCCCGGGAGATTGGAGAACGGACCCGGGCCTCCCGGAGAACGGGCCCGGGCCCCCGGGAGAATTGATCTGGACCCCTGGGAGAACGGGCCTGGGCCTCCTGGGTGGATGGGGCCCGGGCCCCAGGGAGAACGGGCCCGGGGCCCCGGGAGATTGGAGAACGGGCCCGGGCCCCCGGGAGAATTGACCCGGGCCCCTGGGAGAATGGGCCCGGGCCCCCTGGGTGGATGGGGCCCGGGACCCCCGTGGATAGGTCTGGGCCCCCGGTAGAACGGGCCCCGGGCCCCGGGTGGACGTCGGACCCCCGGGTGAATGGGGCCCGGCCCCCGGGAGAACGGGGCCCGGCCCCCGGGAGAACGGGGCCCGGCCCCCGGGAGAACGGGGCCCGGCCCCCGGATGGATGGGGCCCGGGCCCCCTGGTGGACGGGCCCCGGAGCCCCGGGTGGACGGGGCCCGGAGCCCCAGGTGGACGTGGCCCGGGCCCCCGTATGGATAGGGCCCGGGCCCCTGGTTGAATGGGGCCCGCTAGGGTGACCCGCTTGCTCCGCAAAGCGAATAAGGGGTATTTTCGATCGGTGGGCGTTTGGTTGGTCTTGTGTCCGTGGGTGATGTATCCATTTCGGTTGATTGCTTTTTGACGGCTAAGCATTTTGGATTGGGAAAAAATATCCATTGCATCGAGGTGCTCGTGTCTGATAAGCATGCGTTCTACTATAGAACATGTCATGTGTAGTTTATAACAACGGTTGACGTAGGTTATTGAAAAATGACAGCCATCGATGAATTCCTATGTAGAGGTTTCTAACATTTATATTTTTAAGAATACTGTTGCTCGTCATGCAAAAGCGATGATTGGATTTTGGACAAAATTGAATGGTCTTCCCAACTATGCCATTTTCAACTGTCAACCGTACCAGGTTATGCAGTAAAACCCGTGTAATTAAGTAAGTCATTAACAAATACCATTCTCTCCAGCGATTTGTTCCACCTTGTTTTTGATCAATTAGCTTTTCACAATTTTTCCATGAGAGGCGGTACATTTCTTTTGCCAACAGGCGTTGTTTGAACCCGCTCCGTCAAACAGTCACCCGAAAATAGCATTAAGTCCCAAATCTGTCCGAAACGTAAATTTCCCAGCATAAGTGCCCTCACGGGTGCACGTGGCGCGTGCCATCCCTGCACCGCACACCATTCGATAGCCCTTTCGATTCTCTACACGATACCCCGTGGCGATTGGGCCCACGGTTACCGAGATACTGCACGGGGACCGGACCAGTGTCTGGCAAATTTAGTCATTTTCGCCCGATTTTGCAAGCCGATTTATACATACATGTAAAGTCCATAACGCGAATTTGCACTTTTTGAGCACGCGTCATGTGCTCGCTATCAATCCGATCGAGCTGAGACCCTCAAAGGCACGTTGCCCATCCTTAATCTATAAGTTGCGCAAATTTCAGCGCACTTGGCGCAACGGTCGGGCCCGTACCCCGCGCTAAGTAACACCATGCCGGGACCTCGATAGCAGACAGAATCTACAGGGTGTCCCATAAGTTCGTTCTCACATTTTATTTGCATGTGAAACAGAGTACTTTGCGTTTTGATATATTTATGACCCCTCAATGTGCTCCCCATTTAATAGGCAAACACATGAACACATGCTGCGGCATGCTAACCGGCATGTTTGGCTGCATAGCAGGCTTAAAGTTAACCCAGACTGACTTGACATGCGCCGTGAGCTCCTCGAGGCTGGAACAGCGCTACGCTTCGACGAGCCTAAATTTCAGCATAACCAACAATTTTTTATGAAATTTTGATCCGATGAGGTGCCTGGCATGTGGTCTTGCCACAAACGCCTGTCACAGTCTCCTTCCACCGCTTTTAAGCTTTGCTTGGCCTGTGCACTGATGCACTGTCTTGCCTGAAGATGGGCCTACGACCTCTCGGATGCCATTTTCTCCTCTATAAATGTGTTCATACTCGCGGTTCGAGTTCAGCTTGAGGGCTGAAACTCCTCCTAGATTTTCTTGGAAAAGCATTATGCTTCCCAAAGCTGTTTCTGGGACACCAATCGCAACCTGGTCAGCGTCTGGACGCCTATAACCCCACAATACCGTGATCTTGGCCTTTCGCATAGGAACATAACGGGACGAAACGGAGGCCTCCTCCTTCGCCCTTATGGGGTTGTTTTCGGGTTTGGACGGGTGTTTCATCTCGAACGTGGACTAGTTAGTCCAGATGACCTGGTTGATGTCCTCAGCCCCTTAGTTTTTTTAGCCTCAGGCATAACGAAACTCATGTTTGGCCATTTTAAGACGTTTTTGACTGTTTTGAGCCCTCCGGTAAGCAAAGCTTTAGTCACCTTGAGTTATGTACCCCGTAAGAACAATTTTAGACAGCTGGTAATCCATCTTGAAAAGTCTGCTTACCAACTTTCTAACCCCTTGACCTTTTTGATGGCCACTTTGGCGCTACACAGTTTTGGCCACATGGCTCACTCCTGAGAGCTGACAAAAAAGAGGATAAACTTGCAATGATTGACTCCCGACAAATCATCGGTGTCACTTGCTGACTGTGCGTCCAGTTAGCGATGGACATTGTCTACAGACTGGTAGGCCTCAATCACCCTCAATCGTCGCGAATGGTCACGTGCTGACTAAATACCGAGACGTACCCGTATTGGAGACCTCTATGTTGCGGCGTTAGCCGTCTGTGTAGGAAACGGGCTCTCTACCAAAAACTATTTTGTCTACAGAAATTAGTTACTGTGGAGCATATTTCTACCAGCCATGGCAACCACGTAAGCTCAGTAACGAACCAATTTCAGCGTGTCTTTAAGCAAGAGAGCCTAAAAACGTAAAATGTAGGTGAGAACGAACTTATGGGACACCCTGTACGTCACCACATCACCACGCCACAACAAACCCGGCCCATGGCAATACATGTCCCATATGAGCGCGTTAACTCTCGCCGGCACAGGCCATTCCGGCCATTTTGCGTCCTTCGACGGCACAAGAGGGGGGGGGGGGGTGGTACGACCCCTTCGTGTTTGGCCCATGATCGAGCTAGAGCTTCGCGGGAAATACGAGCGTGTTCCCCGTGACGAGAGGAAGCCGACGATACCCAATTTTAAGGTTCTTGGTCATTGGTTGACCTTCCAGGTCAGGTCAATGACCGAAAAATCGGGAAAATCGGGACCTGTTAGAACGTCGTTAATTGTGGCTGCTATAGGGTTTTTCGGGGTACTGATCATGAATAGTTATCATGTTAGTTTTGATAACAGATGAGGTCTTTATGCATTTAAGCCAGGTCGGGTCAGGTCAGGTCAGGTCAACCAGTAGGGGTCCTGCCGGGTATTCGTAGTACCTACGTGCCAGCCGCCTCTGGCAGCTTCGTAACATGTTACGAAGGCACCAAAACTACTTCGTAAATGTTCAAATGGTTGCTAAATTCGGATTCAGCTCCAAAAACTAGCCTGGAAACATGCATAATTCGAAAAAAGTACCGAGGTCATCATAGGTCAATGACCTGACCTGACCTTCAGGTGACCTTGACATCCACCCTAATGCATGGGAGCAGCATCAACTCACATGTTTGAATGCTTGAAACCACGGAAAGACTGCAAACGCGCGGCTAGTGCGAGCCGGCATACGCCGAATCGCGATTCTGGCCAAACATGGTCTCGGAAAGTAGGTCACAGGTCAAAGGCCATTTGGGTCAGGGTCATGAAATTTCTAGGGTAGGTGTAAAACTGATCAACGCGAGGGTACTGAAAGTTTGGTTGCGATCGGCCGATTTTTACCCGAGTTATTCGCGAAAAACCTTAGGGGGGAGGTTGCATCATCCCCTCCCCCCCTGTGCCGGCGAGGGTTAAAACTGCTTGTGAGCGAATTCACGTAATGAAGAAGAATAAAGCACAATCTACTACAGCAGCCAATAGATGACTGAGTTAGGACAGGCACGTAGGACTGCTTAAATCTTGTCCGGCAGAAGCAGACAACAGTTCCGTTTGCATATATGCTATGCATATTGCGGAAGGGGCACATTTCGGCCTCGAAAGATACGAATTCATACGTCATAGTAACATATTTCTGTCATGGTCAATTCACGTGGAAATTGAACACCGGGTGATTACCGAGCTATTGTTCTATCAAAATTTTCCGATTCAAACTCGCTCACGGTTATCATGCAGGTAAAGGGGGCCCGCTCAGCAGAATGCGTATGAAATATGGAAAGATTCTGAAAAATGGGTGGGGGGCCCGCACACTAGGGGGCCCGCTTTGGAGGCGATGACCCCCCCGAAACGAAATCCTGGCTGCGCCACTGGGTGCGGGAGAGGGCCCGTCCCCCTCCCCACCCCCACCCCCCTCAGCCGTTCGGCGCCTGGTCGAGCTGGATCTTCACGAAAAAAAAAACGAGTGTGCTGCCCGAGACGAAAAAACCTGATGATATCCACTTATACGGTCCCAAACCATTGGTTGATCTTCCAAAGTTCCAGGTCAGGTCAATGACCCAAAGTCGAAAACACTGGGACCAGCTGCTACAACTTCTTTAAGGGAAGTTGTGGCGGGTTTTGGGGTCCTGATTTCGTCTTTGGTAGGTATTTGCTTTTGTTTGATCAAAGATAAAGTATTTATACATCATTTAGCGTATGTTGGCTCAGGTCAGGTCAGGTCGACCAGAGGGTGTAACGCCAGCTATCCACATTATTTGTATTTGTATTGTATTTATTGCATACCATCAACAGGTCCGGAAACCCAATAATAGACGGAGTCAGACATATAAAAACAATAAATACGACACACATTGTTAAAACTTCACACTGTATGGCGAACGAACACAGACAACCACTTCATAAACCGAGAGCACCTTCCAAAAATATCCGCTCCAGGAGTCACCTGTTACAGGCTATTAATCCGACGTGGTAGACGGCAAAACAATCCACCTTTGATGGTGCCTACTCTGGCGGCTGGGACATTAAAGGTAGTGTGCCAGCTTTCTTGGACCGTATGGAGTTAATGGCCCAGATAAGGAGAACCGGATTTTTAGAACTTATCCATACCTTCAAAACTCATGGAAACGTCTTAAATTCTTCAAATTTTGAGTACCTACCCCAGTGCGAAATTCGCCCCGACGGGTTGTCGGTCGTACCCCAACCACATTTCACACCACTATGAACAATAAATGCACACACTGAAATCGCTATTACCGATATGCTCATCCAATCAAGTTTCGATAAACCCGTTCATCATCATCTCCTGCGGTTTCGAACACGCCTGTTAGGTGGCTTCTGATGCTCGTCGAGGTCGGAATTTCCAAATACGCGTGGTGCGTCGGGCCGCGCGCTCTGACTTCGGCCAAGAAAATGCGTCAGCTGATCATTGTCATTTCTGCCACTTGCGTGTGGTGAAATGGGGTCATAACTTATAAGACGGCTTTTTCATATCAATTATTTTACATAAAATCATATTTCAAACCATAAATAATGTTCGACAGCCAAATAAAAGAAACAATACCAATACGGGCTTACAGTTTAAGGCTCGACATTGTGTTGTCTACGATTAGACAGCTGATAACTCATTCCCGTACGTCGTATGGTCGTAACACTATAATGACCTTTGCTTATTGTCACAAGTGCGCCGCATTCGCGATTGTTGCCCGACGCCTGTTTGCAGGTGAGCCCACTACAGTTGTTATACATATCTAAAAACCGAAAAACTTTTAGGCGAAAAAGGCACTATTCCAGGCCCATTTTTGATTTTTTTTGCGATATTAGGTAAAAACAGAAGCTTCTTATCCTAGGAAAAATAAAATGGGAAATCTTTCAAAGGTGGCACACTACCTTTAAGACAAGGTTGCGCGCGAGTTGCCCTGGCTGGGACAGCAAGTCCGAAGCTGCCCAGAATTTCCACGGAGTCAACACGACCCCCGAAGACGCCATGTAGGAAGGCGAGGTCATGTTTCGCCAGGCGCTGTTTTGTGGTTAGAACGGCGAAGTGGAGCAATAGCTGTGCGTAGTCAAATGAGTTTGAAGGGCGATTAGAGTTAACAGCTATCCAAATTAAAAACTTATGCTGGACCCTGTCCAGTCGCGCCATGTGAGACACTGCGGCGCCCGACCAAATAATGCTGCCAAACTCCAAAACAGAACGAACGTGAGCGTTGAATGCCGTAATAAGGGGTGCTGGCTCGAACCTGCGCCATGTCCGCGCACGTGAGATTTGGAGCGATCGCAGGTAAGTCCCCAAGGCACGATTCGCCCTCCCGACGACGTCATCGATGTGAGAAGCGGAGTTCAATTTTGAGTCCAGAATAACGCCTAAATCACGCATCTCAGATACGCGATCCAGGGTGACATTGCCAATGGAGTATGACGTCATGACAAGCTTTTTACGCAGAGCAAAGGTGCATTTTGCTGGGTCAAGTTTTAGTTTCCAAACGGTGGACCAAGAAGATAGGATGTCTAAATCGGCCTGAAGGGTGACAGCATCGTCGGGAGAGCGAATCCGCCTCAGCAGTTTCACGTCATCAGCGTACGTACATCAGGCATGTCGATGAGATAGAGGACGGAACATCGTTGCAAAATACGCGTACAATGCCACTGACAGTTTCGTCACATGTGGTGTAGGTACCAAAACCATTTCTCAAATGTCCACATGAGTGTAAAAATCAAAATCAGCTCCAAACACTTCCCTAAAAATCGTAAAACTCGATTAAATCGCAGGAGGTCACCAAAGGGCAATGACGTTGACCTGACCCTCAAGTAACCTAAGCATCCACCATAATGCACGAGACAAACATCATTTCCCATGTTGGCAAGTATCCAGCCACAAAAAGTCTGGAAAGACATGGATATTGGATATCATGCCCCGACACAAAGAATCGCGATTTCGGCGGCCGGCCTGACGTGTTCCCGGGAAACATGTCACAAGTCAGGGTAATGTGGGTCAGGTTCATTAAATTTTCAGGGTATGTGTAAAATTGATGATCTGATGGACACTGAAAGTTTCGTCGCAATCGGCCGCGTTTTTCACGGGTTATTTGCAGAAAGCCGAAGGAGCTCCATCTGACCCCCAACAAGTATGAGTGTCAAAGGTCCCAGGCAGATCCTGTTTTCTTAACCCTCGCCCGTATCCGTATGAAGGGGGGGGTCTAACGGACCCCTCGGTTTTTCGCGAATAAATCGCGTAAAAAGCGGCCGATCGCCACTCAACTTTCAGAACCTTCTAGTTGATCAATTTTACACCTACCTTGATAATTTCATGACCCTGACCCCAATGCCCTTTAACCTGTGACCTATTTGCCGAGACCATGTTTGGCCGGTATCGCGATTCGGCGTATGTCAGCTCGCATTAGCCGCGCGTTTGCCGTCATTTCATGGTTTCAAGCGTTCAAACATGTGATATGATGTTGGTCCCATGCATTAGGGTGGGTGTCAAGGTCACAGTGTATATGTCAAGGCCACCTGAAGGTCAGGTCGGGTCATTGACCTTTGGTGACCTCGGTTCACTTATTCTAATTTTACATGTTTCTAGGCTAGTTTATGGAGCTGAATTCGAATTTAGCAACCATATGAACATTTACGAAGTAGTTTTGGTGTATTCGTAAAATGTTACGAAGCTGTCAGAGGTGGCTGACACGTACTATGTTTACCCAGCAGGACCCCTACTGGTTGACCTGACCTGGCCTAAATGCATGAAGACATCTGTGATCAAAACTAACATGATATTTGTGATCAGCACCCCAAAAACAACCTCATAACAGCCACGCTTTACGACGTTCTACCAGGTCCCGATTTTACCCGACTTTTTGTGTATGTATGTATGTATGTATGTATGTATGTATGTATGTATGTATGTATGTATGTAATATGTATGTATGTATGTAATATGTATGTATGTATGGACATCAAAAGCCTCCCACAAAAAGCGTGGCGATTACGGCTTTTGGGTCACTGACCTGACCTGGAAGGTCAACCAACGACCTAGGATCTTAAAATTGGGTATCATCGGCTTCCTCTTGTCACGGGCAACACCCCTCCCCCCCCCCGTATACATTTGAGGCTGGCTTAAACACCAATACGGGAGAGAGTTAAGAAACAAACATGTAAGGAGCATGAAAGTCATGCTTTCATGAAACCAAATGCCCATATGTTCCAAAATATGGCTTTGCAGCTGGTTGGGTAAAATCAAATATTGTCTGTTGCTATTATCCCATGAGATTTTATTCAATGATGGAACAACCACCTTGTCACCAATAAAAAGAACAGCAAACAAATAACCACCATCACATGACCACTGGTCTGAGTACAAGATACAGATACAGGTAACATGTCAAAACAACAACACAACTTTACAAGCTAAGACATCACAATTCACAGCAGCAACTAACCTGAAGAAGTGATACAGTCCATCCATCTTTCCTCAGTGCTTCAGTTTCTGATGCTGAAAATGGAAGCAAGCAATTCAATCATAGCTAAGCCCAAAATATGGCATTGAGCACAAAAAGAATACAATTTTGAGTATTACAATCACATTGCAAAAAAGCAGCAGTTAACATGCCTTACCCTAGCAAGAATTCATGTGCAGTTTCTTGTATTTGGATTTGCAATGTTCATTCTTATTCAAGGTGTAATATTGAGGCATTCCATTCAGTTAACTGTTCTCAAACCAAATATACATCAGTAAGAGAGCATGTTTCATGCCAAAATAAATAAAATAACAAAGAACAAAGAGCAAAGCAAAAGTTTGAGAAAGTTAAACATAACAAATGATCAAAAGCTTCAACAGAACATCAAAAAATAAATGATCTCAATAAAAAAACACAATCGTAAGAAGCCAGGCAAACATTGAGAAGAAGTCCTTTCGTACCCTTTCAGAGTTTCAGCAGAAAAATTGAATTCAAAAGTCCATTGCATGTACAAAGATTAACAATATAATGACATACACATTGAAATAGAACAAATTTATGCAATGTGAATAAAACCCACACGTAATGGTAAAGGTACCTAATTTACACATTACCTACCCCAACACTGACAAACCTACCATCGCAATTGCAAAGGCAGCATAGACTCACGGATTTACCCAATAAATACCTCATCACACAAATAAAAATATTTATTTTAAACTTACATGATGCTTTGCAAATAAGAATTGAATCAGCTGCAATGTCTTGTTTAATTGCAACTAGTCCATTCACATCCTTATAGCCAAATTGATCCAAGATGCAGTCCTTGAATGATGCTAATCTTCGACTGTTCCTTTCAAATATGTACAACAGTATTGCTCTGTAGTTATAAATAACACTCATAACTGATGATATACGAGCTTGTAATGCCTTATTTCACGTTGTCCCAATCCTCTAACATATTCAATTTATATCTGAACCTTAGTGTGACCTAAACTCATAATTTTCATTTTTTAATAAATTATAAGAATCAGTCGGGGAAACTATGGTAAAATCTGCTATTTTTAGCAGTCTGCTATTTTTAGCAGAAATCTGCTAAAAATGGGTACGCATGTGACGTCATCGTACCCAAATATAGCAGATTTGGGTACGGCCCCATTCAAAAGCAGATCTGCACCCTAATTGAAGCAAATGCGCATCAAATGCCTGGCAGATTCATGATGAGAATAGTGCTGAGAGTGATCTCTGCTATTTTTGTTCAGATCAGACTATTTTCAAATTCATTATTTGAAAATAGTCGGATCTGAACAAAATATCAGAGGACATTCTCAGCACTATTCTAATCATGAATCTGCCAGGCATTTGATGCGCATTTGCTTCAATTAGGGTGCAGATCTGCTTTTGTATGGGGCCGTACCCAAATCTGCTATATTTGGGTACGATGACGTCACATGCGTACCCATTTTAGCAGATTTCTGCTAAAATAGCAGACTGCTAAAAATAGCAGATTTTACCATAGTTTCCCCGACTGGAATGAGGGAGTTCTATAGCCTTGAGCATGAGATGCGTTGTTTTTTCAGAAATGTAGCATTCGCGGCATGAACGTAGGCAATATTTTTACATCCCTATTTCAGACTTTTAAATTTTTGTTTCAATTGATCACGTCAATTGCCTTTTAAATAGGCCAAATAAATTCATTTAGGTAATTTAAAAATAAAAGATTATGTAAAATAAGATTATCTCGAAGACCTAACGAGAATAGTATTGGATTTGCTCGTTTTTTGAAAGAATGTGACTCAAAAGCAAGGCCCCTCAAAAGCACTTTATTAGAATGATGTCAATATCCTAAATATGTGAATAAAAAAAGCAAATATAAGTAAATTTTGTTTAATTTTAGTAAAAAAATATTATTAGGCAGCTTAAATTTCACAAAAAAACATAATTGAAACAGAAAATGCGTGTTTTATTTAATCTGACGTCATTTATAACAATGAGCGTTTGTTACCATTAGGAGTCAATACACCTCATGCTTGAGCCAAACCAATTTCTACAAATTCGACCGGCGTCCATTTCCTTTGGCTTCCGCCGCGTGGTCGCAGGAGGCGCCCGGCTCCCAATTTCTCGAAAATTACGATATATTGCGTTTTATTTGTATAACCTAATATGGGGGATGAAGCACCGTCTCCCCATAATGGGGGTCCACCGCCACTTATGGGCGATGGTGGTTCAGGGAGTCCCGGTGGTTTCAGGGGAAGGGGTCGCGGCGGATTCGATGGCCGTGGACGCGGTGAAGGCCGTGGCCGTGGAGGATTCAGAGGCCGAGGTGGTGGAGACCGTGGACGTGGCGGTGGTGGCGAATACAGGGGAAGAGGGGGCCATGGCGGTGGCGACCGGGGGCGTGGAGGTGGAGAGTTCCGCGGACGCGGCGGCGGAGAGTTCCGGGGACGTGGAGGCCGTGGAGGACGAGGGGGCATGGGAGGCCCCAGGAACCCAGAGGTACGTGCTCAGATGTAAGATCAGGGCCCTGTTCTATGACACGACACTACAGTGCGCTGCGCTAAGGTATTGGTGCAGCGTTTGAGATAAATTTGCCTCAATGATCCGGCGTTGTGAGCATCTTGAGTTTGTTGATGTTTCCATGGAAACCCAATACACTGATGCATTTGGCGCACTGTCCTGTCATGGCAGTGAAATGGGGCCCAGTGGTCTGCTTGTGACATTTCAGGCTGTTCAGTTGCTTTTATCCTGCTTTAGGCAAGATTCGTAGAGTCACAGTTTTGGCATGTTCTTGTTGACATGGAGGTCCTCTACTGATGTGCCTGCTGTCCTATGATTTTGATTTTATGATTTTGAGTTACATGAAGTGGTGCAAGAGAAAATGTAGTAGGTACAGTGCTAAAACTGGCTTTTCTGCCAGCCTAAGCTGGTCAAGTTCCCTTTTTTGTTTCCTTTGAGAGAAGGAAGATGAAGGAAGAGGAACTTTATGCACAGATGCACCAGACATGTGCAAATTAATGATGAACTGAATGATGTTATGACCCTGTTTCAGTTAATTCCATCATGGTACTGGGGGCTTCAGTGGTGCAGTGTAGCCACAGAAAACAATTTAAGTCCTGTGGCACAACTTTCAGACTTTTGTGTGAGCTGGTGGGGATTTTCACCCTTTTGGCAGGTTTGGGCCCACCAGACCAGCAGGAAAGCTTCTGGAGGGTCTTTATGATGCTCTCAAAAGGAGCATTGGATGCCTTAAGGCTAAGGACTCATTTTTGTACCTGAGCTTCAGGGACTAGTGCTTGCTATTTAGGGCCCTGAGTCAAACACTTATGACCTTTCAGGTGCTCCTGCCTGCTAGGCCCTTGCCTGCCACTGAAGCTGAAGGCACTTAGGTGGCCTCTGATACTCTACCCCAGACTCTAACTTCAGTCTAGGCTCTAGACTGCAAAGAATGGCAGTAGAGTTGCTGCTCCCAGCTCTGAGGAAAACGTGCAACATCCCACACTGAGACTTGGAATCTGCAACTGCAAACACTGAAAAAATGACAAAAATTATCCCTTGGTATTTGGAAGTGTTCCTACACTTGTATTGCTCCAGAAACTAATAAATGGACCAGTGCAAGGCTGCATATGACAGGCTGAATATTCAGGGGTAATAGTTGGAAATGCCTATTTGGCTGTTGCATTCCCAGGGAGTATACCACTGAAGGATACCATTGAAGGTATTTAAAAATGTGTGTCAATTATAATTGGTATGCATTATTTGATTTGAAATTGAATATATAATCTAAGCAATCCTTTAGCTTAAAAGATGACGTAAGCCAATCAACCCATAATGCTGGGTGCAATGCGTGCAATAAACATTAAACAAGTTTGTTGTGATACCCTTCAAGCTCTGACTGGATAGTGATAAGTCAGGCTCGAAGTCAACCAGAATCTTGGCTCTGGCCTCTGAGCATTGATTGATCAAAATGTTCGTGAGCTGTTATAGTGATAAGTGAACCCAGCTGTGGACCAATGGCCCACTGGCGCTCCCTGCCAGGTCTCCATTACATAATATAATCGTTCTGGGTGGTGTTGTACAGGTGCTGTAGTGTAGTGCAGCACTCTTCCACAATTATGCCTGCATGCTCTTGGAAAATCTGCACCACACGGAAAAAGTTCACGTAGCACCGCGTGGAAAATCAGCACTTATCAGGGCCAGGCCTTCATCGAGACCGACGATATATCATCGAAATCGTGATACGCGGCAGAGTAGCCCAGAAATATGGCAATAGAGGCAGCAATGTAAATCGCCCAAGAAATGAACCCACACCAGGGTAATCTTTGCTGTTGGATTTTTATCAGCATGGTGCTAGTTTTCTTATATATGGAAACTCATTGCTATTTTTTCTTGGTCTCTGATTAGCCCATCGCTCAGACCACATGATGAAAAGCAAAGAAATGCCAGCAAGGTGGCAGCCTGTTGATGCAAAGCGGCGGCCGAACCTAGGCTAAACCGTGCTTACACCAAACTAGGCTGAAATTCTGCACCAGCCAGCGACAGTCAAACAATCCTTGAATTGGCACTACAGAATTAGGGATTATGTATTTGTAGATGTAAAAAGTGAAATGTAAAGTATGATTGTTCAGTGACCGAACTCCTAATATTTCGTTGTCATGAGGAGCGGCAGTGAAGTGAAACATTTTACCAGAGTGGACCCAGCACCCAGTACTCAACATGAGCGGAAGTTTACATACTAAGCAGTCAGAACAGCAATGCAGCTCAGGGTCTATGCTAAGTGAGCTTAGCACTTACAGTCTGGCCTTATCACTCCACCAATCAAAACACTAGAGCTTTTTAATGACAAAAGTATAATTATTGGGAATGAATGACGTGTTGCAGGTAAGTTTTCGTATTTGAGGTCGAACTTTGGATAATTGTATCCGGTCCCCTGGCCGCTCGGACGGACTCTCGGGTGCAGCGGCTCGGTGAGTTTACTGACGTCCGGTGTCTGCCTGCTGTCAGGACCGGCTGAACGACAAGCTGCAGCAGATCGGCGGCCCCACCTACGACCTGCCCGTCAATGACAACAAGGAGCCCAAGAAGTTCACCAACAAGTGCCGCCTGTTCGTCGGCAACCTGACCGACGACACCACCATGGACGAGTTCCAGGAGATGTTCTCCGTCTTCGGAGAGATCGCCGAACCGTACATCAACCTCGAGAAGGCGTTCGGATTCGTCAAGCTGGTAGGTGGTCTTCTACCTGTAAATGGAATATGATGGCATGGTTGTTAAATGTGCTGGTTAGCTATTTGAACTGAATTTATAGTAATTCTGAACTTAACTCATATCAGTAATTCTTCTTCTTAAATATTTTAATGCGTTTTGATAGTATAATATCGGTATGATAGTATTCTTCATGGTGCTGCAATAAGCGTGACGTAGTGCTCTACCGGGTGGCCCAGAAAAAACGTTCCGAACTTTGGAGGCCTGTATATCAAATACGAGTACAAATAGCGAGCCAAAATTTTCATCAAGTTTGCGTCATTTCTTTGCGCATTGGTATGCCAATTTATAACACTATACCATCATTTTCAAGCTGGCAATCTTGAGTTGAATTAAGCAAGACCTTTTTGCTTTTTTGCCAATGTGAAACGATAGTGATGATTGGGTTAGACGTCCCATGTTATAAAAAAAAGAATAAAAAATAGAGCACGTGAATGAAACCAACACGTATGTTCTTATTTTAAATATTTTTGTCTCACTTATGTGCCAAATATTCAAATACTGAACCAAAATGGTGCTCATGGATGTCATTCGTTTCAACACCAAATCATGTTTCGAGCAGGAGTGGCACGATGCATGGATTACTGCTGATTACTCTCCTTTCAGTAGATCAAACAGTAAATCGACCGGATAAGGAAAACAAACTAAAGCAGACTGGTTCCTGTGCCAGAAGACCACAGAATAGCTTATGAAAAACAACATTGCCAGCAGATGCCAAAACAATATGGTTGAAAAGCTACCTTTTCCCAGGAATGTCAGCCAGGAAAGCATTTGAGCCACAAGATGGTTAGAAAACTGGAAATTTCTTCCGATGCCGCTGGCACAGAGCCATCGTGGTTGCCTGAGGGAATGTGTCATCCTGAGACCCGAACCATCAATGAGACTAGCTGCCAGTAGAAGTCATGGCTCTAGGCCGCGGTGCCGCGGGGTGAAAGTGACCCGTTCACTCACATTTTTTAGTAAACATCGGAGCAAAAAAGTAATTTTTACATGGCATGCTTGAAACACGAACCATTTAAAAAGTTATTTACCGAACACCATGAAAATCACACCATTTACTGAAAATGTGTGCCGCATTGACTATTCGAAGTTTCAAGGTTGTATCTTTATCACTTTCTGAGAAATATTGATTTAAAGTTGGAAACGTTTTTTCTGGGCCACCCGGTATATCGTTCTGTAAAAATGGAGCCAAAACCTATGGCCAAAACGCCGCCAAACATGTGGCACAACAGGTTCCTACCATACCGCCCTGACATCTCAATGAGGCCTAATAACATTTATTTCTGCGGACAGGATTACCGCGCCAACGCGGAAAAGGCACGCCAGGCCCTGAACGGCACCATGCGTAACGGCCGGATGCTGAAGGTGCGCTTCTCGGCCATGGGCTGCACGCTGAAGGTGAAGCGGCTCTCGCCCTGGGTCAGCAACGAGCTGCTCGAGCTGGCCTTCTCCATCTTCGGCGAGCTGGAGCGCGCCACCGTGGTGGTCGACGAGCGCGGAAAGTCCACCGGCGTCGGCATCATCGAGTTCGCTAAGAAGCCGTGCGCCCTCTTCTGTCTGAAGAAGTGCACCGAGAGCAGCTTCTTCCTCACAGAGTCAGTACCGATTCATACGGCTCCCAGCAGCCATAAGCTGTTCCTCCTACTCAAATATGTCGAAAAAATATTGTGTTGCACGTTAAAAAATGTATGTCTTTACGGAACAATGCTTGGGTATCTTGATTATGAAGACTGCCAATGTTTCTCGTTTGCCAATTGCATTACAATAGTGTGAAACATTGGTTGCGATCGTTCCGCCTCTGACCGTGTGTCTGACCGTTCGATAGGGGCCTCTGTCCGGTCGAGGTGGAGCCGATGAACGAAGAAGATCTGGAGGACGGCCTCTCCGAACAAGTGCTGCCCAAGAAGAACCACGAGTACATGCGCGAACGATCGGTGAGTCCATGGACGTCCATACTGGCGGCCATGAGGCTGTGATGGGTGAATGTTTTCACTGCGGTTTTGTGGTCGATTGACAGTTTCAGGAAGTATGTGCGGGCATATTCATTAATCAGAGAAATGTGATCAGAGGTTTCAGGAGAACTGACGTGAGAACACGTTTCTGTTGGTATAGTTAGCTTAATCTATGGATACTGGTCCGTCCCCTCTGCGCTATACACCGCCGCTGACACCGTCCCGTCGTGACAGGTGGGGCCCCGTCTGGCCATGCCCGGCTCGTTCGAAGCCGAGTACGGTAACCGCTGGAAGCAGCTGTACGAGCTGGAGAAGCAGCGCCGCGAACAGCTCGACCAGGAGATGAAGATGGAAATGGAGAAGCTGCGCGACCAGATGGACTTTGCGCGCCGCGAGCACGAGACGGAGATGCTGCGCGAACAGCTGCGCCGCAGAGAGATGGAGCAGGAGCGCACCAAGAGTGACTGGGACGTGCGCCAGGCGCAGCGCGAGCAGGAGCGACGCCGCATGGAGGAGGAGATGCAGCGCCGCCAGGAGTCGATGCAGTCGCGCATGCGCCAGTCCGAGGACGACCTGAAGCGCCGCCAGCAGGAGAACCAGCTGTTCATGCAGGTTAGTTGCGAGCGAGCGGTAGCGCGGGTAGCGAGGGACTAACGGGAATGATGCCACCTGGCTAAAGTCAGTGCAGCTGCTCGCTTAGCGCATGTTTATGCGTGCTGGTATTGACTGTGATGTCGGTCGCTTATTGACTGCTGTTTTGTTTCCCGCTTGCTTAGCTTCATAAAACAGGTAACGTAACTGGGTGAAATACCTGAAAGGAGTATGCACCTTGCATGCGCGATGCGTCTGCCGATCATTGGTCATGTTCATTGCCCAGCAGCTTCAAAAATGTTATTTCCCGCTTGCTTTTTCACAAAGTAACCACCAATGATTTATCGCATATTCTACCATAATGGCTATAAGCTTTAACGAGGTGGCGTCGTAACGCACCTTCCTTTTTGTCGGGAAACGCCTGCATTATATGCTAATCCTGTAAGTGCACTATCCTTATCTGCACCGCCCGCCGTGCGGAGCCGGTGAGTGACGCCCCGGCCCGGCTCTGTGCGGCAGGCCAACGAGCTGAACAGCCTTCTGGACCAGCAGGAGCAGGCCATCTGGGACGGCGGCGCTGGAGGAGCGGGCGCGCCGCCCCCGGGTGCGGCGCCCGACGCCGGCTACGGCAGCGACGTGTGGACCGGAGCCGGGCAGGAGCAGTCGCCCTACGGTAAGCAGAGGGACGGGAGCCGGGCAGGAGCAGTCGCCCTACGGTAAGAAGGGGGACTTGTGGACCGGAGCCGTGCAGGAGCAGTCGCCCTACGGTAAGCAGAGGGACGGGACAGGGCAGGAGCAGCCGCCCTGCGGTAAGGAGGGGAGGGAGACGTGAGGGTGTGGGAGGGGATGTGTGGTAATCGAATAGCTGAGTAGCTGAGAGGGGCTTCGTTTAGTGGTGGGCCGGGCAGTATGGACCGGAAAAGCTGCTGTGTGTGATTGGTGATGGGGTGGAGGGGCGAGTTATAGCACGAGGAGGGGGGGGGGGGTTCAGGAGGATTGGCGATAAAGGGATAGAGTTCTATGGTGGGAACGATCGTAAGAGGCATGTGGCTCACTTCGGAGTACTGTCGCAGAATGGTGCTTATTTCAAGATCAGCATTCAGAAAGCACGTTACATCTGACTGATCTGACCCCGTTCTGTATACCTAAACGATGTTGTGGTTGTCTGTCACTATCAGCAGCGATGAATAAAACAAGACCCCATAATGCTTGACCTGTTGGCTGGAGAGGCTATTTTCTACATGCCACGTGATTACTGATCCCGTCCTCCGGGGCTAGGTAATGACTCGAGTACCCCAGAGACCGATGTGCTGGCGCGCCGATCGGGTGGCCGCTCCGTGAAACTGAGTGTCTGTTTCTCTTCGCCAGGTGGACCGCCGCCGGGTATGGCTGGTCGCGGAGGACGTGGAGCCGGCCAGGTAAGCTGACTAATCTGCTTCCTTTGTGATATTGTCTCGTAATCTTGCTCATGCAAAATCGTTCGAATCGGTGTGTGAGACTATGAGTGTCAGAGGGAGGCATTTTTTTCCACACTTGAAGTATTTTACCCGACGACTGGCTTATGTCGTTCATTGTGACCACCGATCTGGGTGCGATGCATTTGTCGGTTGCCGCGGGTGGTACCCTTGTCGAGACTGAGCTCTGACCCTCCATCGGCAGGTGGGCGGCATGGAGATGGGCGGCTTCGGCGCTCGCGGTCGCGGCGCGCCCCCGCCCGGTTTCCGCGGCGGCCGCGGCGGATTCCGCGGAGGACCTCCGCGCGGAGGTGCCGCCGGCGGACGCGGACGACCCATGGAGGAGGGAATGGGCATGGACTTCCCCAACAAGCGCCCGCGCGTGCTGTAAGTGCCGACTGGCGGGGCGCGCGGCGGCAGCGGGGCGGAGAGGCGGGCCGGAGGATGGCCGCTCGGGTACACGGAGAGATGGAGACAGGAGGAGGCCACGGCGCGGGCTGAGCAGACCCGCTGCACCGGAGGAGTGCGAGTGTCAGAGTGTCTGAGCTGTGTGTCTGTCAGAGTGTGAGTGTTTGTATGAGAGCGGGTGCGTGCGCTCGAATAGGTGTCATCCAGTTTCTGCATCCGTATGAGAGCGGTTTTAGATGCGTTTGTCACGCGGTCATCCAGTTTATCGAGAAACGCTCGGAAACCATCGGCACTTCATCGGTTGTTTTCATTGTCCGACCTTTGGATATCATTTTGCTACGGACGACTCCCAGTCCCGTTTCATGGGGCGACATTGGGCCGCTCGTGCTCCGTGTACTCCCGTAGCTAGACTCACTGCATCTGCGCGTTAGTCCGGGTGCCGCGATCTGCTCCGCTTCTGAAAATATACCGAAAATCAGCCATCTTGTTTCTAATCGAATACCTTATTGGGATGTTGATGACAAGCTGCTGAAGGAACATTGCGGGATATTATAATTTCGTCAATATACGCCACCGGGAGAGGCTGGAGCTGGGATGCTGCGCCGCGAGTCTCTGATAACAGTAGTAGTTGCACCTGGAGCTCGCATAACTCGTGCATGCTTACAATAACGCTCCTAGATGGCGCTAGCAGTGTGCGCCTGAAGTGATGCTGTGCCGCTCGGCACGAACGTCAGTTTTTTCATTGGGTTTCGTCGTCTCGGGGTTATAACTGTCCAAGTTACGTGCGGACGGGCGGCTGAAGTCGGCCAGCGGGCACGCGATGGTTATTTCTGATGTTTGGATATCCGATCCATATCATGTATAGTAAAGTCGCTGGGTTCTGTCGGCTAATGGACGAAAAAGGCGCAGAGCGATACTGACAGACCGCTCAGCGGTGCTTTTCCTCCGGTGAAGTGTGTAATCTATAAATACTTCAAAGGCAGGCAGTAGGTAACATTCAGCTCAGGGTCATTGGTGATCATATAACGTGACTCATAAATAGCCTTTTACCTGTGATGTGCTTATGCGCCATAGCATATTCATTTGGTGACGTCTTCGGTCGGCTTATGACGCCAAACGCGGTCGGTGTATCTGACACCTATCTTAAAAAGAGTCCTGAGTCCTGCCTGGGGCCGAGCAACGGCTTCCTTTTTGGTGGAAAGCGCTTTCAGTTTTGTGCATTATATAACCCGATGACCTTCTTGACATTTTCTTGGCCACGCTTTTTGTTGTCGATGCTTTGGCATCTGACATCTGTGACATTTGTATGCCAGGTGATTCCGTGAAAGGCAGCATACGATGGCCCAGCCATTTTCTGCAGTTTATGCGATATCCGTTTTTATGCTAAAATCATGCGTATTTTACAACCTGCCCACTGCATTCAAAATGAATTTATTCAATTGTGACTTTATGTTGAATGGCTCGTGCGGTTCGTGCGAATGTGTGATATACGACTTAATTATATTTTATTGGCTCACAAAGCCGGCGGGTAACGGTGCAGGCAATATGGATGTCACCGAAAGGGCCCTCACGCGGCCAAATGCCCGTGAAACGGCGACGGAGGGGATCAGGCGGACAAAGATCCGATGACGTCACTGAGCCGAGGCCATCAGCGCCGCGCCGTTAGAGCGCCGAGACTGGGAAGACGCGCCACGCAGGACTGGAATGGGCATAGGCGCGGGAGCCGGGGGGCAGTGGGGGCAGCTTGCCCCCCCCCCCCCCAACTCTGGGGCCGTGGGGGCGGTGCCCCCACAGCTTTGAGACGGAATACCACACTTTTTTGCAATTGTTTTCTTTTTTTGTTGAAAAAGCCGAGGGGTGAAAAATAAGTGGCCTAAGACCGGTGAGAAAACTAGATTTGGGGGTACCCTAGGTTGATCTCTATTATGGTGTGCCCCCCCCCCCCCCCCAGTCGGAAAGTAGTTCCCGCGCCCCTGGGAATGGGGACGTTTGTACGACTCGTAACAGCAAGGCATGTAGACCGGTAAAGTGCGTATATCCAGCGCGAGTAGGTATATGCAATATCCAGGACTCGACCACCAGACAAAAGCATAATCGTACTAAACTAAACACGTGTTAACAAAATGCCCTGGGAGATGAATGTTGTGGTTATAATCTGCGCTTTCAACAGCCTACAAAATCGACTGTAGGGGAGAGTGGGGCAAAGTGGCCACCTATCTAGCCCTCCACAGCTGGCGTCAGTTCCAATTTATGGTTTCCAATTATATTTCTCTTCGCGGTCGTTCGAATGAGCCAGGCCGGGGTTTCAGGCCCATCGCCATTGTTCTGTGAAACACGGAAAAGCATGTCTTGCTAGGTTACCAACTATGTTTACAATTTTTAGATGTTATTATATTCCATAACCGTATGGAATGTTCATAAGCGTTCTTGTTCATGCATTGCTTGGTTATCGTACATGTCTTCTACCAGTTTTAATGATGTTTACCCCCAAATAGCTGAGCTGGAATATTCTTGTATCGGACGGTACGAGGGGGTATCGAAAAGTTCTGATCATCACATAGAAGATTTAGACCGATTTTGATGATTTTTGGTTGGTATTATATTTGGTTCTTAAGAACAATGTTCCCGCAAAGAGAATCCTGAGAAGTGGTTTTATCTTATGTAGGAGAGACTTAGAAGTAAAAAAGATGAGTATTGGGCCCATTGAGGACCGAACCGTCATCCAACTAATGCATTTGAAACGGTATCACACTGAGAAAATACATCAAGAACGTGAAATTAGTTTATAGCTAGGAAAGCCCATCTAATGCACTTACCGAAAATGAAGAAACAATTTTCAACTTGGTTGCATGACCCTTGCAGGGGAGTCAAGAAGTGAGTGACTACCAGTGACTGACAAGGTGGTGACTGTGAAGGAAGTGGAGGACCTCATCCTTACAGATCGTCGTGTGACCTTTCAAATGATTGTGCAACAGAAAGGTCTCAATGCTGGCAGTGCCTGAAAATATTATCGGCGAAGAACGACAGACGATAAAGGAGTCAGCCCGCTTAGAAGTTCGTGTGTCTACTTTGTTCAAGAGAAAAATGCGTCTTGGCCTTTCGAAATGAAAACTAGGCTTTTTTTAGGATATTGAAGACATCTTCGATCATTTAATGACTTGTGACGAATGCTGGGTCTATGTGTATGATCCAGAGACAAAAAGATGATCAAGAAGTTTAAGCACGGCACATCTGTTCTTCATAAAAGGTGAAGATGCAGAAGCCGATATGGAAGGTCAATGCTATCAGTGTTCTGGATCTGGCGTAGGATAGTCATTACCGACTGTCTTGATGATGGTCGGATAATGATAAGCAAGCACTACTGCACACTTTTGAAGAAGTTGCGAGATGGCCTCAAGCAGAATCGCCGCAAAAAAGCCCAAGAAAGATGTTTTATCCGCACCGACAGCGCCCCGCCCATTCGTCCTGAGCTGCGATTTAAGAATCAACATGATGTGGACATTAAATCCTACCGCATCTAAGAAATTCACCTGACTGGGTATTAACTGACTCTTGATTGTTACAGGACATGAAGAATCCACAGTATGGCCGGTGATTAAAGGCCCAGAAATGACGTCATTGATGAGGTGGAGCAGTGATTTACGGGACAAGGCGAAGGTCCTACAATGACCGCCTGAGGCATCTCAAGAAACGATGCAATAAGTTTGCGGTCGTGTGTGGTGACTTGTAAGGGAGTAATGAACATCATGTAAAAAAATCAAATTTCTATCACATCTAATTCATGGTGATGATCAGAACTTTTCGATACCCCCTCGTATGCGCGGAGCAAAGTGGCCAGCCCAAATTGGCCATAAGTTGTTTCCATCCGGATAAAAAACATTATTCATGTTGGTTACATGAGTTTCCAAGTAATGCAATTAAATGTTCTAGTTTTGTCAATGTCTCCCATATGTGAACGCCTTTGGACATGAAACGCAGTTGAAATAAAAGGCGATTTAACCCTATTAGTGGCAGGCTCCTGGCTACCCCTATTACTCGTAGTGGCAGGGGGGCTGTTTACGACCCCCCCCCCTGATATCTCGAGATCTAACGGGCCGATTTTCAAAATTCAAACGGCATTCGATTTCGCTCAACGTGATCTACATTTCTAAAAAATAAAAATTAAAAAATGTCAATAGGGGGGGGGGGTAGAGGGGGGTAAAAACGGGCAAATTGCAGATACATTTTAGACTGTTTATCACGGCCAGGTTTCTGAACCAATCTTAACGCAACTTTTGCCGATCGATAGAGAATGAACCAGGAATTAACATGGATCCTAAAATATGCATTTTCAAAAATCATAGGCGGATACAGATCATTGAGATTGGGGGTACTCAAAAAGTATAGTAAATAAGATTTTTTTGGTACTGTTTCTAAAAAGGGTGGTAATGGTCTTGTTATGTTACAATTTTCTTATGAGAGAACGACTACAATTGTATTGGTCATGCATAGGCGGTGTCAGGGCACCTATGTTGGGAGGTAATATATTCCTGCCCGGGGCCGGGATGATTCAATAAATGTCACCGAGGTTTTTTAGCGAAAACTCCGAGGGCCGTTAGGCCCGAGGTGCTTTTCGCTAAAAAAGCGAGGTGACATTTATTGAATTCCCGGCCTTAGGGCTGGAAGGTGTTTCCCATACCTGCCAAAAAGCTCACAACTATAATTGATAGTGACGTCAGCAGCCGTGTGGTTCAACGCGTTTAACCACACCCCTTGAACCACACGGCTGGCAATATTAACCCTCGCCGGCCGAGGGGGGGGGGGGCGGGTGCCGCCCCCCCCCCCATAGGGTTTTTCGCGATAGCTCCGAACACGCTGGCGATAGAGAGCTGAAACTTGGCATACCTGACCTTTGATCCAAGCCGGATCTTTTGACACCAACCGCATTTTTGGGTCAGGTCAGGTCACTGACCTATGACGTCATAAGTGAACCTCTGCACGGTCTTCAGATGTCGCAACTTCGCAACGCCCTCACTGCCAGAGGAGATGTCACAGGGAAATGAAACTTGCAGGATCTAGTATCCATTATGAATCCCACAACTTGTATATCTCGGATTTTTCCTAAAGGTCATATGAGGTCAGGTCATTTTCGTGACCTCACCATTATAAGTCAATGGGGAAAAATGAAAACTGCTATTCTGGCGCCGGGAACGATCTCCAACTATCTCAAGCACACATAATCGTGATTTGATACACTCCTTGCAAGGTGAGATGCGTCACTTTTGCAATGTTGACCTTGCGTGACGTCATTTATGACGTCATCAAGGTCATATTAGTTTTTCGTCAATAACTCTTGATCAAATTGAGCTAGCGAGTCGGGAATGCCACCAATGGACTCAGGAAGACCTGCCGAATCGATTGATATGCGACATGACCTCTTTCGACCAACTTCGTGACCTGGGGGTGCTGACCTGACCTTGACCTGAGGTCAACACCCCAAGTTGACCTGACCCGGACAAAAAGTATATCATTCGACGCGCCTGAGCGAGACGAACACGATGCTGCCAAAATCGGCGCTCTGCGGCCGTTTTTTTGCGAAGTTATTCACCAAAAACTGAACCGTACCTTGGGGCACTTGACCTGACCTCAGAGGTCACCGGTTGACCTAGGACCTTAAAATCGGGTACCAATCTCTGCGTCTCGTAACGGCGCACACGCTCGTTTTTTCCGCGACGCGCTAACTCCACCAGGGGCGAAACGGCGAGGGGGGGGGGGTCGTACCCGCCCCCCCCCCCTCCCCTCGGCCGGCGCGTATGTAGAAAACCAATAGGTCCGGCGAGGGTTAAAGGAAAAGGGCCACCTTCGTGAAATATGAAGATATCGTTGTTTTTCATTTTGACATTATTATTTTTAATTTTCTTTTTAAAACTGGTGCCAGAAGTGCACAATTCGCGAAAAAGTATTTAAAACTATTTAACATATTGGTACTATGTTGATACTCTCTACGGCACCTACTGTATGATGGCATAGCGATGACGTCACACTCAAGCCAATCAGCGTTCAGAAGACAGACTCGTCGGATTGTGTCAGATAAGCTGATTGGTTAAAGCTGAGCTGGTTGGAGCTGATTGGTAAAAAACCAAAGCCTCGCCGCGGGTGGCTGTATTGTCGGATAAGAACGCATTCCTGGGATAAGGACGCATTCCTGGCGTATTTTCTTTTAAAATTGCCGATAACTACGAATGGAGGCCGAAATCGGCCGTAAGGAGGTAGACAGACAGGTTTTCGGACACGGGCTACAAGATGGCTATCTCAGTTTCAATCCCCATGTTAAAGGTGGCCCTTTTCCTTTAAAGCACTGCATTAAACTTTGAAAAGTGTGGTACAGTGCACGTGCCATTAAAATGCCTGGATGTCTCGATTTAATCATGCAATGTACAGGGCTGCGGAGTCGGAGTCGGAGTCGGAGTCGGAGTCGGTCGGAGTCGACAGTTGTGACCGGAGTCGGAGTCGGAGTCGGAGTCGATTTTAGAAACCCGAGCCGGAGTCGAAGTCGGAGTCACCGAAAATCTGTCGACTCCGCAGCCCTGCTAGGTCTGCGGAGTCGGAGTCGGGAGTTGGAGTCGGTCGGAGTCGACAATTCTGCCCGGAGTCGGAGTCGGAGTCGGAGCTGGTTTTTGAAAGCCGGATTCGGAGTCGGAGTCGGAGTCGCCGAAAATCCATCGACTCCGCAGCCCTGGCAATGTAGCAGGTATGGGAAAAAACATAACCCCCCTTTTTGGACGCCTGGATCCGCCTATTATAGCAAAAAGGTGTCAAAAGAGGATGCACAATAACTTTGTATATGCTATCACATGATACCTTTCATTCACTGTTCGTAAAACTGGTGCATACAGTTATAATGCATCAGTGTACATGTACAATACATTATGTACATCAGCATCGTGATCTTCGCCCAAATGACTCGCTTCACGAATAGGACCCCCCAATTCCCAGTGCTCTGGAGCCGCCCCTGCTAAAGTTATGAACTTGAAATTTTCAGTGAATGTGCCCAATTTAGTTTAAGGAAAAGTCAGAAAGTTTCAGCATCGTAGCTTCAGCGGTTTCGGAGATATTCCCGAAAAACCTGAGGGGTGGATGAAAACAGCCCCCCCCTGCCACTAATAGGGTTAACAGGGATCACATTGGTATAGAATAGAAGGATGCTTTCCAAGTTTAAAAATCAAGTGTCGGCATCGTAAGAAGCGTTAAGGTGGCCGCTTAGTTGTCCCACTCTCCCCTATTTCGGGTCGCCGAGCGCCCCTCCGTCAGAGGCTCGGTCTGCCCGGGTCGACTGGGTCGTGGCTGCCGCAGACTGGTGACTTCTGCTCCCAGACTGGGGGCTTCTCTGCCTGCACCGTCGCGCACACACCGTTGATATGGTGGCGACGGACTTTTTCCGCGCCGGCAGTGGTATTCCGATCATGTCTCGTCACGTAAAAGGCGCGGTTGCAGCTGATTCGGCAGCTGCGGGCGCAGCACGATAGAAGGCAAAGTCCTCGCCTTCTGCTTGACCGTGATGTAGGTACTCGGCGGCTGCTGACGGCCGCGTCCTCGGTCCCCCCGCCACCAAGTGTTCTTCCACGTCCCGCAGCTTCGGCTAGTCATGTTTCTGTATCAGTATATCGACCGACAGCTGCCTGATCCGGTAGCTGGCGACCCTGAAGCGGGTGTCGACAAAGGTGAGCCGGCGTCGGTTCATGGGTGTGTGTTTTGTATTGGCACATGTTGCGTTGTCGTCATGCTGACGCTGGCTCTGGCTGGCGGCTTGGTTTGACGATCAGGACGAACCGCCGACGTTGCTGAGTACTTTTCCACAAAAGTTGCTAAGTTCACAGCACGGCACGAATTTGACAGAAACAGGCTGATAAAATGCAGACTACTGATGGCCCAGTACTCAGTAGTCACTGTATACTTGGCCTTTTTGTGTCACCTTTATTCTGACATTGTTTAAACACCCTTTCCAAGAAAAAGATATGTGTAATGTAGTTTTATGACACTTGACAGCCTCACTTGACACGCACTTTGTTATCGGTAAAACAAACTCCACCGCCTCGGACACACCCTGGCGCTGCCGTTCCGACTCCGTCCGGCCGGGGGCCGTTAATCAGACGTCCGCGGCTGGCGCAGTCGGGACACGGCACACACTGCAGCTGGCTCTGTCACCCCGCCACGGTCCACCGGAGCCGACCGGTCAGTCGCAGTCGCTAGTAGAGGCTCCAGGATTCAGGAGCAGTCGCGAGCGCAGGCTCCGGAAGCAGTCGCGAGCGCAGGCGCGGCGCGCAGCAGTCGCGAGCAGAGGCTCCGGCAACAGGGGGCACAGGCTCTCCACTCGCATTAGTAGCGGCTCCGGGCTCCGGTTGCAGGCGGGAGTAAAGGTACCGGCTACCAACGAACCACTTCCGGCTGCTAAGCGAGTTTATTTCATGCGTCAATCTCCTCAGCGCTAACTGCGTCATCACATCTCAGCTCGCACTTTGGCGATGCGGGTATGTCCCGCTCAGCATGTGTAGGTACTTCACTCGTTTTGCGTGGCCGTTCACGTCGATATGCCCTGAGAACCTCTTGAGAACAGTCTGAATGTGGCCCTTTGATGTCATGAGGTGAATACCCAAACTATTGACAGGTGTGAACCGAATGAGAGGCGAGACGGACGTCATAGTTCTCGCCATTTTGTCGGTCCATTTGGATAGAAGCTAGTCAAATAGGATTCTAAACTTTGACAGTGGAGAGTCTGGAGACCTTTGACCTTAGATAAGGGAGCTCATATGAGCAGCGATGCGCGGACGAGTAGCATATGGAGCGGTTTTGTAATGAGTTCTGTGAGAACAGTCCCAAGCCAGTGATTGGCGTCATTGTTTCCTCCTGCACCGCCCGTGGCGGCTGAACGACGGCCGTGATGCTGTCTTATCAAAAATCGCTCGGTGACGACAAAATAAATAATGATTGCCATCCAATAGCGGTTGGTTGTATGTCCTACTTTATTGGCAATATGGATAACTTGACCATGAACAGCGGCTACCATGTGAAGCTGTATCGGGAGTCTGGCTGAGGCACCTCGCTGGCACCCCACGCTCGTTTGATGCTAGTGTTTGAGTAATGTCAGCTGGTGGTCAGAACTCCGCTCGCCCAAAAGGTCTCGACCTTCCAACTCCGACCTCTCCGCAAGGCTTAAACACCGACGCCGGATTGAAGCAGAAGTGGCCCAGACAACTGACGAGAACGTTTCAATACAGTGCCAGCCCCACCGCTCTGGCCACGGACGCGACACGATTATCAGCATTGCGGCACAGTATGAATCCAGGCGCCCGTCCGCCCCGCCATCTAGCGATGAAATTATAAAGAAGCTACCCTGCTGTGCGGCGCAGCATACCATTCAATGCTTTGAGTCACCCTCATATCCGAGAGGCTTTATGCATTTCAGCAGTCAATTTATTCATACTTCACACCTCACCAATCGAGAAAAATGTACTTTCCTTTTGCGATGGCTCTGGATACGGGCTATTTCGCCCAAGATTATCGCCATGTCATAGATAAATGACAACCGGGAGCTTCATAGCTTCACGGCTCGTAGGTATGTATTCATCATCTCTGCCATTTTACGCTGTGCTTTTTCGTTCGGCCGCTGCAGCTTGCAACTGCAAATGGTTATCGCTGACTGGATGCATTATGCAGCTGTCTTTTTATTTAGTTTGAATGTTTGGCTTTGTAATGTTAAAGGAAATATCGCAACGTTTGGTGTTCCACTACACATTAGTTTTGATTCGTGCGGCGAAGATGTTGCGAATATAGGTATTCGTCCGAGAGAAGAAAAAAAATCAGTTGATCAAAATGTATGAATTGCGCTCAGAGGCTTGCTGCACTTTGTGACAGCACCTGTCCTTGATTGAAAAACGATTGCTGCCACAGGTTGTCGTTCATCTTTCCAATTTGGTACATAAAGAGATCATTGTTTCTAAGCCTAAACGCTATCACCGATCATCATGGCAAAGGGTGCCCTTCTTCGTAGTTGCCTTATCCGTGTATGATTTCCCGGCATCTTCATAAAGGTCTAACAGATCTATGTAGATAATATGAGTGCGCACTGGGCAATGTGCATGCCATGCATGCATATATGTATTCAGAGAATGCTAACAACTTGACAATAGATATATAGATATCAGTTTTCTGCACCAAATATTTCGGTAAAGGCCGCGTCCAGTGCCGTGTGGTATAATAGAGCTGTCCTCATCTCCTCCCACTGCGTCAGTGCGGCGTGGGCCCGTCCAGCTCCGGTGTGTCGGTCAGCGTCACGCGGCACGTGTCGGTCGCGAGGCACGGCGCCTCCTCCAGCTCCAGCAGCGTCAGTCGGTTGGAGGCGGCCTTGAGCAGCGTCCCGGGCACGTAGAGCGTCACCTGCGGCCCCTGCGCCGGCCAGTACCTGCCCAGGTTGAAGCCGTTGACGAAGGCCACGCCGCGCCGCCAGCCGTCCAGTCGGAGGAAGGTGTCCGTGGGTGAGTCGGCATCTACGCCGGCGGGGAGGTCAAACTCGCCAGTGAAGAAGGCCGGCGCCGCGGCCGCGGTCAACCGGTTGGTGGCCCGGCCGGCCAGCAGCCGCTCCACCCTCCCCAGCTGGGTGCTATTCAGGGGAACAGAGAGCTGCTCCCAGCCGCTGAGCCGGCCGGAGCCCAGGAACACCGGCGACACGATGCCCTTGATGTCGTTAAGAAAGTTGCCGAAGCAGATGCGCCCCTGATTCTCGGCGAGGATCTGAAGCCGGCTGCCCTCCTGGACGGAGACGGGCAGCTGGTAGATGTTCTCCCCGCGACTGAGAATGCCCACCTGAGCGCCGTCCACGAACACGTAGCCCCTGTCTCTGAGACCGGTGACGTTCAGCAGGACGGGGTCCGGCTGCACGCCGGTCACATTGTGCGAGTACAGCACAAAGCCGTACGCCTGACGGAGCTGCTCAAAAGTCAGAGGGTCGTCCGAGGTGACCGGGTCGTCTGCGAGGCCGCGCACGGCTGCCAGCAGTCCCTCGGAGGCCGTCATCTGCACGGCGCCGTAGGCGAGCACCGCCGGCTGCGGCGGCGGCTCTGGCACCGACCACGTCGCCACCGAGAGAGTGGCGTTCCGCATCGCGTAAAACTTGTCGGTGAGGTAACCGTTCTCAGCAATCGGCGCATCGTAGTCGTATGAGGTGGGGCAGGCCTGGAAGTTGTTACCCAGGTTACTACCGGCTGAGAAACCAAACGACGTCCCACCGTGAGCCACGTACACGTTGACATTGGCCTGCATGTCGAACATCTCATTCATTGTGCGCACCACGTCCTCTGTGGATCGGGTCGAGTGCGGATAGCCCCAGTGGTCCAGCCAGCCGGGGTAGTACTCCGAGTTCACCAGAGGCCCGCTCGACTCGAACAGGCGCTGCACACCGAACGCGGCCGCCACGTCCGTGCCGGACCCGAAGTCGACGGTGGCGTAGGCGGCGGGCGTGGTGCCGCAGTGCAGCAGGCTCTGGCTGTCGCCGTCCGTGGTGAACAGCACGGCCGACTCGCCCAGGTGCTGGCGCAGCCTGTCGGCCAGGTGCTGCAGGTAGACGTAGTCGCACGCGTGGAAACTGCCGTACTCGTTCTCCACCTGGTGACAGATGGACCGGTCACACGCGAAAGGCCAGCGACAAACGCGGCGCAGCGTCTCAACACATTGCTGGCCCCTAAAGTGGAGATGTTTTTAGTAAAAAATCATAGACCGTTTTCCATATTCGCATGTTATCAACAGCAAATTTTAATTCGATAGAACCACGGAGCAAGCTCACACAGCCACCTATTGTCTTGTTAATTGTGTAGTACAATTGAGCTCCGTTATGTCGCATAGCAGCCTCATTAGGCAATAGCTTCCAGCAGCTAACTGCCTTCATCCATCTACAACAGAGCTGTAAAGCGACCTTGAACCCAACACATATAGTCTGCTATCCGTCGGCCGTGGCTGCCATGAAGATATTAGACGGGGACAAGTCAGCTTATGCCGGCGTCTCTCACCGCGATGGACAATTAAGGCGGCGCACGCCGCCGGAATGGAGCCACCACGTGTCGGTGTCCGTGCATATATCGTCCGAGCGCCGACAAATCGCAAATGAAACGGCGCCATAACTTCCCGGCGATGAGCCACGAACAACATACTGAAATATTACGTTATACGTTCCGCCTCCGAACCAGCTCAAATTGTGGCGGCCACCACTCATGCCGGGCCGAATTAGCCACCGTGATGCTTCAGCGACAGAGACTGGAGATCGCCGGCAGCGAATTGCGACTGCGACATCATTTTGACAAACAGAGAACGGAAATTAGCGTTATTGAGCTGGGTGAAGTGGTCGCGTTTCCGGGACGCTTCAGTATCAAAGGCTAACGGGTTGCCTGACATGCTCATTGAGCTGGTCTTTTTGTTCCTAATGGCTTGAACTGCGAAGTAGCAAAACCATAGCTTTGTGGGCAATATCCAAGTCTAGCCTTAAACGGTAAACATCAACAATCAACATAGAGGCCCGTCAGAAGCTTGTGGGAAACTACATATAAAAAATGTAGCGATTTGTGAACCATTCCGTAAGAAGGTTGCGTAGTTACTGACTATTGAGATGCAGAAGTGTATCCCTGACCGTCCTACCTCATCCATTAATTGGTTGAAAAACCTTTTCGTCTTATTTGCTCACATATGACGTTTATTCTTTCTTCAGCTTGTTTTTCTGACGATTTTTTTTTCTTCTTTTCCTAACTATTATTTTGTTCTTTTTCTCCGTGGGTCTCTCTCTCTCTCTCTCTCCCTCTCTCTCTCTCTTCCTCTCCCTCTCTCTCTCTCTCTCTCTCTCTCTCCTCTCTTTCAATCTCCTTTTATTTTATTCCTTTCCTTCCTACCTCTTCACCTCCATCTTCCCCTACCTCTCCTTCCCTCCCACTCCCGCGCTCTCTGGTGGCCGGGCCGTGTCGCTCGGTGCCGATCGCCTCTGTCGATCGGCCGGCTGCGGTCGGGGGACACCGCGCCGCGCTCTGATGTTGCCGTCCCGTCCCTAATGGCCTCTGCACGGGCCACCGGCCACCGACCACCCAGCCGAAGACTCGACCGCAGCACCGGCTATTTATCGTCGGTCGCCGCGAGACGGCAGCCGTTTTTGTCGGATCGACGCTCCACTCTGCCTCGCCCACATTGTGTGCGGCAGAAGAAAAGCCCGGCCTACTACACCTATGTTTGTTCTGGTATGAAAGGATAAGGGAATTTACTTGACGCTACTCTGCCGCCCAGCGAATGTGATACGCTCGTCTCCTCCTTTGTTGAATTCAGCCCTTGCGTCTGTCACTGGACCATTGTCCGGAGGGCGACAGTAGCTTTCATACTATCATTGTATGGTTGTAAACACGTCTGACAGCAGTGAATGCAGTGTCCTTCGCATCGGTTGAGATCGGTGCGCATGACCATCGTCGTTACACTCTTATGCATAGAGGTACCGATAGCGCTGAAGGCTGACTGAGGTAAAGCGCTAATTGCTCGAATCCTCGCGTCCACGTTCTTGCACCTTAGCAGAAAATCGAATGAAAAGGTTTTCGAATTACGAATGGAAATATTTTTTTCGGGGATTTTCCTTCAGGAGCAAAAATATATCAAAATATGCCTGATTATGGTTAGGTTGATTTTGCCCTTGCTGATGGTGATGAATGGCATTTTGATATTTCTTGCCATTGTTAACATTTCCACTGGCTTCATGTTTGATAGATGTTTTCGCCGCATTGTTCTTAGAACCAAGTTCACCTCTTCCCTCCCCTCTCACCTGAAGCATGATGATGGGTCCTCCGTTCTCGTACAGCAGCGGCTTCAGCTTGGGCAGCAGCACGTCGAACCAGCGGTCGAGCGGCTGGAGGAAGCGCGGGTCGCTGGTGCGCAGTGGGGTCTGCGGGTCGGCGGACAGCAGCCAGTAGGGTAGGCCACCGAACTCCCGCTCAGCGTCGATGAACGGCCCGGTGCGCAGGATCACCAGCAGGCCCTGGCGCTGCGCCTCCTGCAGGAACGCCACCAGGTCCTGCTGACCTGCGAGGCGGCCGGTGTGGTTAAACACATGGACGGGGGGGTAAGGTCACAGCTCACACCACACAGACCGTGGGGCGATGGCGAGGTCACAGATTACAGACCATGGAACAGGGCGAGATTGGGCCGTGAACCAGACAGGATGATCTACGGGTCAACTATTCCAGACCTTAGGGGTGAAGATGTCCCAAGGTAGTTTAAATGCCTGGCGCTAGCACATACATGCATATTGCATACCCATATGATCATAATGCATGGGCATTGCTAAGGCAAAATGGCTGACGGGTGGGTCATGGTAACGGGTGAGATGTCGCATCCTGGCTTAGCATGACAATAAAGACAGGATTTTATGCAGTAATGCCAGCAACATAACGTGGTGTGTTTTGCATTCCTCCGAGCTTTTTACGTCAAGTTAACATGGGAATAGATTACTTAGTTACTTTATATCACTTCATCATTGTCACGAAGTGAACAAACCCGGCTGATTTTGGCTCAGTGACCTCAGAACTGCGCAGTTTACTTTCTCGTCAGGGTGAGATTATATGGGGATTAAGTTTTGCTGCTGTGACAGTGAACGCAATCCGCTTTGCGACCGGGTTGTTGTGACTGAGACATCCCTGTAGGCGGGCACAGGGCAATTTACGGCTATGTCATCTGGTAATGCCATAATAGCTGCTGAGCTCGGAAACATACATTTTCAGCTCCATACATACTTAGCACTCGGAGCTTTGATCTACATACTTGCTTCAAACGGCGAGCACATCCGATTTAATACGCTTGCGATATAATCGAGATGCATAGCTAATGTTGATGAAATTACCTACTTTGGTTGATATTGCCAGATAATTGAACTATTTGTTAGACCATGAATGACTCAATGCAAAATAAACATCTACAGAATGTAATTATTATTGTGTATAGATACAGCAAAATAATATGATATCGTGTTGCAAAGAAATAGTTAGCGGAAGCCGTAAGCATAGCTGATGTGTTTCATGTGGTTCGTTTGACGTGCAGACGCGGCGGCTCCAGAGGATATTTTTTGCCTGAAATGGTCACTTGTATCTGCAGAGCTCGGTGCCAGACAGGTCGACAGAAAGGAAGAATAGCCCCCAATAACCAGGCGCGGTAAATTCTTAGCGCCGCACTTCGGACGGCTCACCGGCTGTCATTTTCCAGAGATATTGCTAACTGGAAACGGGTCGTATGACGGAGAGGCTTTGGGCCTCGGAGCATACCAAAGACGGCGCGACATTGGCCGGCGGCCCGTCCGACAGATCACCAAATAAAGGCGGCCTCTCACACACGGCACGGGCCGGCTCAGCAGAAATGGCCGCCCGCCGCGCCGGGCATAGCAAGCAGCTGCGGCGGCGCGGCCGTTAAAGCTGGACCCCACGGCCCGGGCCCGGCTCACGGCGCTCAAACGGCCCTCTCTGAGCCGGCCGGTGCGGCCTCAGATCCAGCGCCGACCTCCACCCCACCGCAGAACGAATGGCCGGCCTCCGCAGCTGTCCGCGAGGAAAACCGAAAACCGCCCGCCAAAAACGCTGCTGCGGAGTCTCGAATGGGCCGGTAGCTAGCTGAACTTTCGGACGAGTTGGTCGGACGGGCGAGTGTGCTTGGGATAGCGTGGCGGAGCAGCAGCAGACACAGACAGAACGACTTAGAAACTAATGCGACAAGTTTATTTATCTCGAGAAAGTAGCAGGCTCAAGCTACTCCTCAAATTCTCAGTTTGGCCATTTTGTGAACACGCACTTGGTCAGTGCTGGGCAGCTTTAATTTGAACTTAGACACGGCTGGGCGCAATCGCTGTCCTTTATCCTTTCGCTGAGGCGATGGAATTGGTTCAGCAACGTCACTGAAGCATTTCTTTGTCAGCGGAAACAAAGGAATCCCAAGCTGCCCGGACCCACCCGAGGGAACAATGTTCTGCGGCTATTAACCACACTTATCTCTTGCGTACTTCACTGTCTCTGAAACACATAAACGGAGATCTGGGAATGGCACGCAATATTTTATGAGGCGCGCTAATTTAGACGGAACAATGCGAGCGCGGCGCCGTGCGAATGGTTACCATATGTCGCTGGCTGACAGGGAGGAGTTACGGACATCCGTCGTGAATTGACGGAGGAAGGAGTTACGGACATCTGTCGCTGGCTGACAGGGAGGAGTTACGGACATCTGTCACGAGTTGACGGGAGAAGGAGTTATACCGGTATCTGTTTAGAGTTGACGGGGAAGTGACGGAGTTACACGGTCGTGGTAACCGGCCTTTCAGCGGGCCAGGCTGGTCCCTGAGTAATGGAGTTCATAGTTCACTGTTTGCCCGGATCAGACGGCGCTCTATGTTTTGGCAGTAGGTAACTCAGGGTCACTGGCCATCTCGATTTGGAACAGAAGCGCTGCTTGAAGAACAAAGGTGCACGTTTAGTATCAACGTTCTCATTATTCGTCACAACTTGACAGATACAGTCTCACGAGCAAAATTATAGCGTTGTATCATGAGGATAATTTCCGTTTGATAAGCTCACCCAACATTTTTGATCAAAACCCGGAAAAAAACATTGACGCGTTATCGCCCGAAATAGCATTGACGTGTTATTGACCGGATTCCAGCAAAAACGTTTGCGCACCGGATACTTCTTTTTGCAACATTCTGAGATGTGCACGCTCGTCAAACAAACACACTCACTTAAAGATGTTTAGCGGGAATTGATCATCGACGAATATGAATGTGTGTCAACAAATCGGCAATGAACTTTTGTAGCCAGATTACGTGCTATAGTGAAACTATACTTTATTTTAGCATTCCGGAAAACTATTTTATTTGCGTCTCTCTCCCCTCTCTCTAGCTCTCCTTCTCTCTCTCTCTCTCTCTCTCTCTCTCTCTCTCTCTCTCTCTCTCTCTCTCTCTCTCTCTCTCTCTCTCTCTCTCTCTCTCTCTCTCTCTCTCTCTCTCTCTCCCTCTCTTTCTCTCTCTCTCTCCCTCTCTCTCTCTTTCTCTCTCTCTCTCTATCTCTCTCTCACTCTCTCTCTCTCTATCCTTCTTTCCTTATCTCTCTTGCTCTCATCCTTCTTTTCAGATAATATAAGCAGTGAAAATGCATGGTCAATTCACTCAATTGGATACGCATGTAAAATACTTTGGTATTCTGTATTCCAGGGAGTTATAGGGGATAGAAGCTTGTTTTATACTCCCACATTCATAGAATTGTCGTAAAACGTGTCAGCGTTCTGTTACTTTGCGCGAAAAATGTACGTAATCCAATGATGGAGCATCAGCGTTCAGCAGTCAGCACTCAGCGGTCATATTTCAAATTGGAGCGTCAATGACGATGCCCCGGAGTTGAATAAACTATAGGACTACTCTAACGGGAAAGGTTTTGATGGTAGCAATTCATGAAAACCGGCAAATACCTGTGGCGTGAGACAGCCTCACAATTGTGATGGCCACTGGCAATCTCACGTGTGAGCTAATTTCTCATTTGCGAACTGGTATTCTAGCCCGTGAGCTAGTATTCTCACCTTTGAACTGTATCCTCGCCTTTGAACTGGTATCCTCGCCTTTGAACTGGTATCCTCACCTGTAAACTGGTACTCTCCCGGCTCCGGCTCATGGCTGTTCCACTCGACGTAGGTCTCCAGCACGTTGGCTCCCAGCGCCCGCAGCCGCAGCAGCCGGTCCGACCAGTAGGCGCGCGGCACGCGGAAGTAGTGCACCGTGCCGGACACGTAGCGGAACGGAACGCCGTCCAGCGTGAACGTGTTGTTCTCGTAGTCGATGCCGAAGCTGGGCGCCGCTGAGAAGTGCTGCGCGGCGCCGCGGCCTGCCGGCAGGGTGACCGGCAGGATCGCCAGCATCAGCAGCAGGCGGGGAGACATCCTGACGCTGACGGCAGTCTGTGGAGGCTGTCTGAAGGCACTGCAGAGCTGCGATGCCGGGGTGTGGTGCAGATAAGAGGCCGACGTGTGGGAGTGGCTGCACCGGTGCCACCAGGCGGACCGCCGCCGGCGCCTGACTGCGCGAGCCGCGCGGTGCGACCTGTATCTGGCCCGCTGGCAATGTTTACAGAAGACGTACCGGGGCGGGGAGCGGGGGGGGGGCAGGGACCTGTCGCCAGCTGGCCGGTGTCACACCGGAGAAAAACGGCAGCCGTCACAACAGGGCAGTCCGCGGGTGTGCATCACGAGGTTACTCGCATCCACTCGCTTCCTCACAGCACTGTTGTAACGCGGGCTTAACGTTTTGTTCTGTAAAAAAATAAATATTTAGCATCTTGACCAAACTCGTCACAGCACTTTTGCTAGCCATCTGCCTTTTTTATTGCCTATGTCCTCAGTCCTCACCAAGGTGGGGAGGGGGGGGGTCGGGGCGCTGCACTCGGTTGAACGTTATGGTACGCCATAAACGGGTAAGACCTAGCTGGCCTAGCTCACGGACTACTAGCTCAGTGGTGATGATCGCTCATTTATTCATTTGGCTGCCGGCTTACCCATCCAGCGACTGCACGTTTCATCAAAGCCAGGCAGCCAGCCAGCCTCACCATCAGCGTTCAGCGTTCCTCTGAGAGGGAAGCGAGGGAGATCGCCTCAGCAGCCATCAGCGTAAACTGGCCGGCCATTCAGATGACTAATCACCCCCGGCTCAGGGAAAACATCCACATTTACGGCGGCACAGATAATCATCGGAGTAGCTTTCTTCGTAAATATACCACTTACGTATCGGATTCTCCCTTCAATTTCTTCCTCGTCTGTTCATCTGTATCGTTCTCTGGTAAACAGATACATAAACGTCAGGGATAATTTCAGGGATGTGTTTTGGCCCAATACCTTTTAATGGAAAAGGTCTTAGTGTTCATATTGACAGTGAGTTTAAACAACATGGTATCAGTTATGCTTTTTAACCAAGTCCGTGTGAGTATATATCGTTTGTTGAATATTTAACATAGAAAAACATTTGAAATCAGGCAACGTTAGGCAGACAAAGGAGGCAGTTTTCCCTCAAATGATCCGAAAAGAATTCTAGGTACCACTCAAAATGTCAGTACCAATATCTTGGTACGGGGTGTGTAATTATCTGTGCAATTAACGCTTGGTAGAATTCAATTTTCGCGCACATTGGCATTCATATTTGTTATTTCTAGCACAATTATGTTTTGTTTGTCCATAGATTGCACACGATACGTTAACTTTATTTTTGGCCTTAATTTCTAGTTTTCATTTATAGGTAAATAAAGATTTCTAGGTCAGAATGCTCAGGTGTATTGCGTCGACTCATAAGTGAAATAACTGAAACAATGAAATGATTCGAAACAACAGTAAATGTTTGTGCTAGAGAACAGTCTGTTGGATACAAGTCAATCTAAATTCCTCGCCAGCTGAGATTATGAGTCTAGTAAAGTTAAGAATGAACTGCTGCTCACGTTTTTTCTTGTGGGAATTCAGACAAAACTCAGACTTTAACGTTTTTGAGGGAACCGAACATCTTGTTTGGCTTTTTTATGGGGAAATGGGCTTTTTTATGGAGAACCTTGAACTTTTTTGTGGCAAAATAAGACGTCACTCAAAAAAATTATCATTCATTACCTTGGACGAGACCCCGAAAGACCTTTCGTAAAATGTGACCTTAAAAGTCAAAACCCCATCTTTGAATGGTAGTCATTGATCAATAATATCAGAGCTTCAAAGATAAGATAAGTTGGTGAAACATTTTAAAATAAAACATGTATGTGAAACGAACAGCTACGCCTGACACGTGACTTTCACCTAGCATAGACTTGATTTCGAATTGAAAATATTTTTATGAGTCAATATTTGGGACACAGGTGAGCTGCCTACCAATCACGCAGATATAGTAATTGCTCTCATGCAAGACGTTTTCTCCAGCGTTTTTTTGCCAGTCGTTTTTATCGTCCGCCCATATCGCGCGAGCTCCCCGGCGCGATGCTCCCACCTCCGCGCCGTGATGAGGGGCTGTTTGCTGCCTTCTGGGATCAAGTGGCTGTGCCGCTCACGGCCGGCGGGAGGCGCGGCGCGCGGCGCATTGATCTGAGGTGGACGGAGCGTCACACCACGCGGCGCCAGCTGCAAGAGGAGGCCGTTCGCACCGGCCGGCCAGCCGAGGTGACGACCGAACCACAGTCAGGGAGGTGACGGTGTTCGTTATGCTTCAAATGTAGATGATTCTGAATCAGCTGCTATTTTCAGTTTTCTTTTTACGGGCGGAGGAATGTTGATGTGAGGTAGGACGGCACAGGCCGACTTTAATTAGACCGAAGCCGTCTAAGCCCTCAGATCAATCCCATTGAAGCTCTTGGCTGGGGTCTGACTTTGGGTGTTCGGCTGTGGCGCGTTAATTGTAACCAGCTGCAACTCGAGGAACTGTGCCTGCTGAAAGGAGAGGGCGACGAGCTCGTCTGACTCAGAAAACAAATATTGTATAATCTTTCACGTTGCTTTAGGATTAAGGGAGGAACTGAAGGACAGCGAAGGGCGAACAGCGTAGTCTACCAAATTCCTTGTGGGGGCTGCCCAAAAGTATATATCGGTGAAACTTACAGAGGGCTTAAAACCAGAGTAACTGAACACAAGCGTGATTTGATAAATCATAATTTGTCTAACTCAATTACGTTACATGCCGAAACAGAGGGTCACCTACCTAAGTGGGATAAAGCCAGTGCGGTGAAATCAGGTCTGAAGAGATCGCACAGAAAAATTCTTGAGTCGGCATTAATTCAAAGTGTGCCATGTACGAACCATAAGGGGGGCTTTTACACCTTAGGAGGGGCGATTTGCGGTCTTGCATTCCAGAAGTATATAAAAACATTCTACCCGTGATATTGTGAGAGAAAAAATTGCAGCGTGTGTATTTGCGATGTGTTGTGAACTTTTGTACCATTTTCTTTTTGTATTATGGGAAGCTAGCACTGAAGATGATATAATCGAAACGCGTTTGCGAAGGCTTTCTATAATACAGTACCTGTATATTTAAAAAAGTTTCCCTTATCTAGTCATTGCTTTAGGAACTGTGTTTTTGTAAAGCATCGCCAATAATCATAGACATAAATGACCTCATTCTTAATATTATTGATGAATTAAAAAAGAAAAAGATACAGATGGCTTCCTTATTTGCCTATTCTGGGTCGCATGCCTACTCTCGGTTCGTATTTTTCGTTAGTCTTTATGAAGATGACTGCCTAGAGAAAAATAAACATTTACACCGAGTGGAGGCGGCATACCTGCTACATCGTTAAGAAACATTTAGTTGAATGTTTACTCACAGTTGGAAAAGCTTTAACTTGGAACGGGAAAAACTTCATACGCCCCTCCCCCCCCCCCCTTATAACTAAATTTGCACGGAATCGGAAAAAGAAGAAAATGAGCAGTGGACATATCGAAAACTTTGAATACTCCACCACCTGTCAACACGTCAGCAATATATCTAATTGCTGAGTTGCGAGCTTGTCTATAGCTAGCGAGCGGCGCCTTGTGACCTTTGACTTTACAGCCGACAGGAGGCGATTATCACCAGCTCGTTGAAGTGGCTCGGCACGTATATAGCGACATACAATTCTCAGGAAACCAGATGCTCGCAGCCTCTGCGGAGCTGCAAGCACACGAGTATATTGCATTGCACAGAACAGAGTGCAATCAAAGTTCAAACCCCATTGGCTGTCACACGATCCGAACTACAAATAGTTATTTTGCACTATATCATATGGTTAGATACTTGGATTTTGGAAAGATATCCAGCTGATAAACGGGTCCCGGGCTTACGCAAGCAAGTGGGAAGGGTACCAATCGGAAGTTTTAGAAAGCTACTTGGGCTCGCGAGTGTCTGAAATACCTAATGGTTTCTCCGTAGATTCCAATGCAAAAAAGTTTAGATATTATCACAAAAAAAAATGGAATAAAAAATAACAGTTTAATGTTAGGTTATTATGACTACTCATTTTGCGTGCATACAATTCTGATAAATATTTTTTTTTACAATATTTGATGGAAGAAGAATCAAAATTCGTGCCCATCGAGGAAATGTATTGGATATTTCGTTCCACTGTGGCCGTGTTCAGTGGAGGCGGGTCTCAATTGCCATGTTTTACTGAGGCGTGCACTGGTCCCAGCTGCCATGTTTGGTGGAGGCGGACACTGACCCAGCTGCTGCGTTCAGTGGAGGCGGGCGTTAGCGCAGCTGCCACCCTGTACAGAGGCGGGCGCTTGACACTGACCCAGCTGCTGCGTTCAGTGGAGGCGGGCGTTGACGCAGCTGCCGCCCTGTACAGAGGCGGGCGCTTGACGCTGACCCAGCTGCTGCGTTCAGTGGAGGCGGGCGTTGACGCAGCTGCCGCCCTGTACAGAGGCGGGCGCTTGACACTGATGCTGTGATTGGTGGAGGCGGGCACTGGCCCCAGATGCCGTACTGTACTGATGCGGGCCTCTATTGCCGTGCTGCACTGAGGCGGGTGTTGTCCTAGCTGCTGTGTCGCACTGGGGCGGGCGCTGGCCCAGCTGCCTTGTGCTGAGGCGGGCGCTGGGTCAGCTGCCGTGCTTGATGGAGGCGAGCCCTAGTCCCAGCAGCCCTGTCTGGTAGAGGCGGCGGCCTCGGCTACCGCGCTGTGCTATAACGGGCGGTGGCTCCAGATGTTATACATACTGAGGCGAGCGTTGGTCCCACTTCCAGCTGCCGTGTTGTACTGAGGTGGACACTGCAGCCCTGTCTCCAGTGGAAGCAGGTCCCGGTTCCTAACTACCGCGCTGCGCTAAAGCGGGCCCTGGTCTTAGCTGCCGTATTTGGTAGAGGCGGCCTCAGCTATCGCGCTGTGCTAAGGCGGGCGTCGGCCCCAGCTGCCGTGTTGCAGGCTCGCCCGGCCCGCCGCGCCGGTCTGACGCAGGTATTGACGCACCGTGCGCCCGCCGTGCCGGCTCTCTCACAGCGCACGCTGGTGAGACCCGGTGCCGGTCCGAGCAGAGCAGGCCCAGTCGGGGTCCGCCAGAAGTGGAGCAAACGGGATCATACGAAACCAGGCAGCACGAGATAAGACAAAATGAAACGGGACGGGAGGAGGCGGGCTCAATGGTGCACGCGAGAAGCCAAATTATGTGACAGATAAATGGGTAAATACGGCCGATATACACAGAGCCAATATTTCGCACTCAGATGATCTGATAGTGTGTCGCAGTTGGTTGGTGGGTATGGTATGCAATCGCAGCTATAGTGAAGAACGGTACAGGATGTCTGTCGGTAGCCTTCC